ATAGCTCGGGGGTCCTGAAATTTACAATTTAAGTAAAGCCCCTGATGATCTTTCTTTCCATGCAGAGAAAATGAGTGTAGTACCTCTGAGTCTGAAGAAGAAGATTTTTGAAATATTGGTTAATTTTCCCTTTGGGGCCCCGCCCTGGCCCCAGGGGTTGGGGTAGGAATCCCAATTTTACAATTTTGAAGCCTCATCTACCAAGGATGATTCTGACCAAGTTTGAAAAAAATCCATCCAGTGGTTCTTGAGAAGAAGTTGAAAATGTAAAAGTTTACGGACGACGACGGACGAAAAGCGATTAGAACAGGTCACTTGAGCAAAGCTCAGGTGACCTAAAAAGCCAACCAACAGCCTCTAATGTTATAGGAGTAAGTCGCTTTCAAGCTTCGCTTTCTACAATTTCTCTTTAGTCTAGTGGTAGAGCATCCGACTAGGAAGTATGGGATTGCAGGATTGATCCCCAGCACAGTCAGGTGCTGGCCTCGTCTGTCAATCCACCCATATTATAATCATATATATGGGTATATAGACAGATGAGGCCAAAGCCCATGGTCCAGCACCTGTGATCCCCAGTGGAATCACACTACATATGTATATCTTTCCTGTTACACCAGTACATACTTGTCAACCCTCCTTATTTAGAAGGGAGACTTCCGATTTTGGGCCCTAAAATTTGGTGTTCTCATATCAATCCTGAGTGAATTTGCATAACTGTTCCTATATTCTTAGATGTAATGATTTCAGCTGAAAGAATAACTTAAAATATGTCATTTTAAAGGGTTGTTTTGTCTTTAAGGGGGTGTATACACACATTTTATTTTTATGTTTTAATGTGCATTGATTAGGTTGCCTTACAAGTGTCAGCTGTAGGGAATTTCCCTTTAGCTAAGTGGTAGAGCATCGGGCTGGAGAGCCTAAGGTCGCGGGTTTGAGCCCCAGCGACGGCACTTTCTTTATCACTATTCCATGTCCTACTACATTTGAGCATTCAGAATCTCCCCATGGAAATCTCAAAAGGTGGGCAAGTATATATGCCAGTTTGTATGATCAGCTGATGTTTATTGCAGTTAAATGTCTGTTATTTCATCTCAACATCTGTAGGCCTGTGGTGAGGTTTGATTTAAAGCCAAGGGAAAGCATGTGAAGGTTACAAATTAAATGTGACTATGGAGCAGCATGACTTACTTATGACCAAGATAACAATCATATCATTCTATCAAAGGAATAAAAACACTAAATAAGGAAATTCGAACTCCTGTGTTGTGAAGCACAGTCAACAGGTCAAGTAAAAAGTAAAGCAAGATTTAAACTAATTATTCTGCATATGCTGTTCCTTATTGTCAAAGCAGTGTATTTAATTATTTTAAGTAAAAGCTTATATGACACGTTATATTACTCTGTTATTTACCATTTGATCTGAAAAATGGCAAAAAAAGTCATCCAAAATGTTCGTCGAATCCAAATAGGACCAGTCTTCCATTTGCAAAATTCTAGATCTATACCTAGTTAGCGTTTGAAAGGCACGACAAATAAACGCCATTGACAAGCGTTTACCTGACACGTTTAGTACGTAGCTAAAAGAATCGTAGCATCGCGATCGTCCCGTTCTTGTTCCTCGCCCATATTTTTCTTGACACAGTGCGATCTCCTTTTCCCACATCCATGCTTAAGTTAAAACTACAACAGTTGGAGTATTGCCTATCGCAATGTTTAATCCAAATGATGTTTAAAAACAACTACACAGACAGCACTTAACAAATGTATAATGTTACACTGTATAAGTATAGCCCATAGTTGCCTCCCCTGAAAACTTACTCTCCACTCAGCGTCGTCGACAACAAAAAACAGAAGAAAAACAAGAGTGTTAGCTATAGTCTAAAGGTGGGAATGAGAAGACCAACAGATCCTAGATATGACGCGGTTGAGACGTACGATGACAAACTTGCCAACTGGACACGAAGTGAACTTCAGCTCAGTAGACTTCATGAGGAAATGTAATTATATACAGACCAGTATATCATTCGATAACAATATATACGGTAGGCCTATGTTAGGGCACAGGGGTTCGTTACAAAGTCTGAAACACACATATGCTATACTGGTATGGGTCACAGCACACATAAACATACTATACGTGCTGTGACCCATACCAGTATAGCATAGTTATGTGTATTTCAGACATTTGTAACGAACCTTTGTGGTTGGGGTGTATATATATATACAGTGGACGGGTTGAGATTATTAGAGGCATTATTATAGGCAAACAAAAAATATGCGTGTTTCCTGTTTCTGCCTGGAAAAAAATAGGGTCGGTATGTAGGGATTTTTTTAATATGTTTGCTAGATTAGTGAACGGGTAAGTGTCACATGTATACTATTATACTATTGTGAGATGCTTATCAGAACCTTCGACAGAACAGCTAGCTTTGTTGTTTGATTTTTGAAAAAAGACAGTCCTCTCTGTTTGTTCCTAAATTTCAGGTCTTTGGGTGATAATCAGATGTCCATAGTGTGGATGTTGTACGATACGTTGGACATCTTCAGTGATTTTTTTCTTTTCAATACAGCTAGGTCTCTATAGAACAACAGGACAAGAATTACATGTACTGAACTACAAAAAATTAGTATGCTCAATGTAGAGGGAAGAGTTCATCAACTTTGTTTAAATCATGCATTTAGCATCTTTACTGAGAAATGCCCTCGGTATATGCATGAATTTTTCACCAAAAACAACAACACATATATGGTACTAGATCCGGAAATTCAAATTTCGCTATTAAAAACGTCAAGGGTACAGAAACATCTACTTTTTTTTTTCGGCTGCTAAAGATTGGAACTCTTTACCGGATCATATCAAAAACAAACATAAATTCAAAACCAATTCTAAAAACACCTTATGCTTCAAGCATTACCGGATTGATTTTCTTCATTTTTTTAATTATTTTTCTTCCATTGATAAAGGACCCCATGCGTAATAAGCCACTTTGTGGCTTTTATGGGTAATCCTAGGTAAATGGCAATCACCACCAATCCTATTATGCGATCTATTTATTTATAAATACCTTCATTTACCTAAATAGTCTGTCTCATTTTGTCTCATTTTATAGTAATATCTGCCTTTTTTTACAGTGTATCAGACTTTTTTTTAGATTTTTATACTTTGTGATATATGTCAATGATTGAATTAAAAAACCTTTTACTAGGTCAGATCTATTACTATTCTCATTCTTAATACAAAATACTCTTTTTTATTTACAAGCTGCAATGTGATTTTAATTATATATTTTATTCTAAATTGTGATATCTTGTAATAACATGCCTATTTTTACCTGAATAAATAATAATAAAAATAAAAAAGGAATCTCAACAACACGAAGACTTTTTGTGAAACTGCCTACATGTTTCGGCCGCTATGCGACCGTCATCAGGGCTTAATTTTATTTTGAGCAAAACATCTAAGGTATAGAAATGCGGTTAGGATTGATATTTATGACGTCATAGTTAAATTGACGTTGCAACAATAACATAGTTCAAAAGTAAATCGACTAGAAAATGCCGTACACACTGTGTACACTGATTTTACGGTGTTGTAAAATAGTGGGAAGTTCATCCTGTACATCAGTGGCCACACTGCTAAAACTATCATTCAAGGAATTCTGATTTTCATTTACATATAAATTGTCACTATAGGTATTAATTATTTCATCTTCAGAGTCTGAGAGATATAAGTCCTCTGCTAAAGTGTCTATACAAATTGGTTCTTGTTCAGTACTCTTCTGTGGGACCGTGTTTGCTGGAATTATTCTAAATTTAATGTTGTCAAAGTTTTTGCGGCCGGTGGATTCAAACGGTGGGGTCCATGTGGTGGGGATTGAAGCTGCCTCCTTTGGGGTCCGGTGATGGATAGTGCGAAAGGCACTCTCATCTAAAAGTTCAGTGGGGTGCATATGTTTGAAGTGCCTTCTGGCTATGTCCATCCTACAATATGTTTTTAGGCAAACCTGGAATAAATATTATTATTATTATTAACATGAAGTCATCACTTTCCAGTATGTTGGGGTGGGAACAATCCTGGTTAAGCCGGGAGTACCACATTATTTTCAGCATTTTTCAGACATTATGTTAAATTCCGTTTTTGTTGTGTCACTATTTGTCATCTTTGTTGTCTCCTTATTTTTTGTATCTGTCTGATGTCCACTTTTGATTTTCCATTCATCATGTCTTGTGTGTCGACACTATGGTATTCCATTGCTGTGGAGGTTTTTTACATCAACATGGAAATAATCAAAAGCACAAACTTGGTTTTTGTTTCTCCCTTTTTTCCCCAGAATTTCAACATTAAGTATTTTTGGAGAAGTAGAATCAGACTCAAGATATGCACTTATATAAGTTGCCAACTTCACAAATAAAAAGAAATGGAAACTCATGTAAGATCCTAGATGTCTATAATACTGCTGAAGTTTTCATGCCAGCATGCATGTGTCTGTTGTTTTTTTTTTGTACACAGCAAATTTACAAAACATTTCACTTGCCATTGAGTCAACCAACAGCTGCAGATTCAAATAGTATTTTGTATGTGTTTCCCCGAAAAAAATAACATAATAAAGAATCATAGCTTATTGTGGTTTACTGACATGTAGATTCTATACCCTTATAATTACTTTTTATAGATTGACCCAAAGAGAGGCTCTGATGAACTACAGTATGTCCTACACAAGAAGCCAGGACAGTCGTACTCTTCAAGGGGCAGCAGAGCGGGAACGAGCACGGTTACGGAATGAGCAATTTCTTCAGGTATTCTTCTCTCACTACCTCAGATGTAGGTTTGGAGGAAAATAATTTATAGCTGTATGCCATTGTATGATTACATACAAGGCAACAATCAGGGACACTGCAGCACAAGGCTAGAGTGTCTACCAACTATTAGAGAAGTTTTAGACACTTAAGGCCAAAAAAGTTTAAAACGGCTTATGTAACTGCTTTCTTATCCTACCATTGTTCAAGTTTTACCATACATGTGTTACATCAGTTATACACAGCCTGGGTCTTGAATTTAATAAAAGTTCTCTAAAATTGCCTAAAAATTAATATTATTGTGGTAAGGAAAAGTTGGAAAACTCATTATTTGTTTTATTTGCCTAAATTCTTAATTCTCATTTCTCACTCGGAGGTAGATTTAGGAAACTGGTATTTTAACTTTAACTTTATTTCAGACCATTGATGAAACTGCAGACTTCCTGAAGACTGAAGCAGCCATTCCTCCTAGCCCACGACTGACAACACTACAGGTATTTAATTATAATAACAATTATAATCTGTTACCATTTCTGTGTAGGAAAGGTATAGACTCAGTTAGGTTTGGAGTGTCCCAGGTTTGAGCTGTCTTCAGCTACACATGTATCCTTTTTGTCTCGCCGCCACGAAGTGGAAGCGAGACTTAGGTGTCGCTTTTCTGGCGGCGACAGCGGCCCTCAACATAAGTTTTTGCATTTAAGTTAGTTTCACTGAAACTATAAGTGCTAGACCAACCAAGCTTGGACCATAGATGCATCTTAGGTAGTACATATCAACCCATGCATCAAATGCTTGATGCAGCCTACATGTGCCTTGTCAGCATCTCCATCAACATTAAGTTTTTGCGTTTAACATGTGCATTGATGGTCAAGGCGGGGCACAGGCAAGACATATCAATCTGAATGGTTTGTTAAATATTGCAACATTTCTTCACCTGGATGAAACACCACAACTTTGTCATGTTTTGTAGATGAAAGTTTTTAATTATTGACAATTTATATCGTTGAACAGAACAACTACTGGGCAATGGTACGTAGCATGGTTCCTATGTATGAGAAAAGTATCGAGCGCCAGAACAGGAAATCCCACAGTGACCATGGCAGCTCAGGAACAGGGCAACGGCAGTCAAACACCAGTCTGAAAGGAAAATCAGCAAGGCCAAGCAAGAAAAAGACAAAGAAAATTTGATTACAAACTGGAACAGCAGGTCTATCAGGTTTCCTATGGCCAAAAATATAAAATATTAATGGCTTCACACACACCCTAAAGATAGCTTATGGAAGTTGTTTTATTTGTTTTTATTATCTTTTAAATTATATACATGTGTACATATATTTTTTGGCCTTATTCGGTCTCAATATTACCATTGAATTAAATTTGAGTTTGTCTGAAGCTGTGGCTTGAATGAGATCAGCAAGGCAGCTCAACTCCTCTTCCTAAATTTGGACCATAAATGATTTTATGTACTGCCGTATTATATAATGTGTTCAAAGTTTGTAATTCACAGTCCACTTTCTTTATGTTGTTATCAGGCAGCTTTCAGCATCACATGTCCGTCCATCAATGTTATCAAATTCTACTTAGTCTGATCCCAACAACACTTAATTCCTACCTTCATTACAATGGCTGTGCAAAATAATGTTTAAATCATTGTGAATATTTCCTTTTGTTTTTTTAAGAATTCTCCATATTTTGCAATACCGTAGTAATAAATACTTTCAATCAAACTTTACTCAAATTGGCAGCAATTGACGACCCTTTAATCCGTTGTTCTGTTTTACTCTGAAAATGGCAATAAGATGGAAGAGAAAAACAAACTGACAAATCCTTGACTTTTAGGGATCCCTGTATCACTGCAAAAAACTGTAACTAAGTGTTGGATGAACTGTTTTTTACCAGCAGGACTAAAGCTTTAATAAATCGTTTCTGAAAAGAAAATAATACCTCACAGGACTTTTATAATAAATGGTAGAGATGAAATCAACAAAACATAGCCACCAACAGAGGATAAAATCCAGCGGTTGAAACCCTGTTATTTCAGAATGTTATGTCATCGCTCTGACCAATTGAGCTAACTGGTCCACGGACCTGTCCTTGCCGTGATTACTGTGCTAAGGTAATATTCAAAACGGTAGTTAAAAGGAGGTGACAGTATACCGGCTATAGGAAAAACTAGGGTACAGTGGGACAGGGATCCTTAAGAAATTAATTCAACTCTGTCCTGATGGAGATTAAATACTGCATGACAGGTAGCCTGCACAGGTTTTAGAAAATGAATGAAATAGAGTTAAATGTTTGTGATAGCTAGATACAATCAAACAATTTGAATAGGAAAATTTAAAATAAATAAATAAAGAATTTACAAAAGTAGAAAATATATTGATAAGTTACTCTAGAGTGTTAAATCCTCATTAAATCCAACATTTTGAATGAATAATTTCATGTGATAAAATGGAGGGGAAAAAACCCATGTATATATATAATATATGAATCCCTATTTTTTTTTTAGGGAAATCATCAAGTTATTTTTTTTAATATCAATATATACTACCGTAGTAAGTTACGTAGAGTATTTAAAAAAATGGATGATTAAATTAAGTCCATTCAGAGCATGGAGATCTAGAGTAAGGAACCTATTTTTAAGCATTACAAAATATGGTATTATTATGTCTTGCATAATATTAAATAAAAGAATATTTTCTGGCAGATACTGGTCAGTTGGGAGCATTTATGATGTAGCAATATAAAACATGTCATAAATACAAAAAAATGAATCACAATGACTTCATTATAAGTGTTATTCAAATATATTGATCTTTTGACAGCTAATCATTTCTGGCAAGTGCAATGTTATTGATTCAGATGTAAATATGAACCTGTAACTATAACAAAAAATGTTGAAACTTCATTGATAATGTATGTCATCACTACCTAGGCAGTGTTACTGTAATAGCTACATTGTGAAAGCTAGTTTTTGCAATTTCAGGTAAGCCTTGTACAGGTCACAGTTCAAACTACATTTCCATATCTTGGCAACTTATATTTACCCATTTACCCCTAAAGTCACATTTAAACCTTACCAAAGCATAGACTGAGCAAGTCCAGTTTAAATATTTAGGGGGTGAATGAGTTAAACTTAATCACTGCCCATTAACATAATTATCAGTTTAGTGAGCTGTATATATTATTTCAAGAACATTTTCCTCTATGTATGTGTTCTGTATGGTTCAAAATGAATTGTATTAATTAAAATTATTAATTATATATATTGGATTGTAATACACATTTATCTTTCTTTATTTCAACTTCAACAAACAAAATACAATACACATGTACATGTTTTCACTATTTATTGCTCTCTGTATACCAGGGTATACATTTCTGTTCAATTGAACTCAGGAAGTTAAAGGGAGATAACTTTGTGTTACTTGTGATTATGTAAAAAAAAAATGCAAATGTTTCTAAAAGATTTTGAGTAACGACTTTCACATTATTGTGATTTATTTGAAACAGCAGGTTTTGTTAATGATGTAGATTTTATTTTCTTAAATGATGAATTCTGGTAAAAGTACGAAAATTGTTTAATTTAAGGATAGATATTACATTGCATAGAGTTATTTCCCTTATATTTTTAGTTGACTTCGGCTCAATACAGTTGTATTTCTTGCTTTCTTTGAGTCACATGCTACTGAATATGAAATTATTATAGCTTTGGTGTCTGTATTAACACATGCTGCACCCCTGTATTTTGACAGTGGACTCTGACAGCCTTTGGTTTGGAGCATACAAAATGTGTCATTAGGTGTCAGTGGGTTTGATTGTATCAGTCCCTGAGAGTGGCTATACATTTTTTTGATTGTTTTAGTATTTGATTTATATAATATTGTATATATACAGTCTTCTCAGTTTTGTTATTAGTTATTAGAGAGTATAAATGAAATCTTTTATTGTTAATATTGAATTTGTTTTTAAGATGACACAAATCAACAAAATGTTTACGAAAATCAGGTGATTTATTGTGAAGAAAATAAGGACATTGAAGTTAGTAATGCTGATATAAAAACTGATAAATGGAAGTTACCCTCTCATGACTACAGACTTAATTTGTATGAACCTCATTTTCTTTTATTATGTCATTCAAACAAGATAGAGATCTAATCCTTATGGATAAATGGCAAAAGTAATATAATTTATAATAGATATTTTACAAGTTTTCCATTTTGGTTTTACATATTTTCTTAAGAAAAATGCATGTATGACAATTAATATAAAACATCTGTATTTTTGTACAGGTACTTCGGGGGCTGAAAATGATGACTTTGCCAAGTACATTGTATGTTGCATATATTTTATAGGTTAATTGCCATCTTAAAAATTATACCTGTGATTTGTGTTGGAGTTAAGGTTATATGCTACCTGACACATTGTACCTATGATTCATGTCAGAGTTAAGATTATATGCCACCTGACACATTATACCTGTGATTCATGTCAGAGTTAAGGTTAAATGCTACCTTACACATTATACCTTTGATTTGTGTCAGAGTTAAGGTTAAATGCTACCTTACACATTATACCTATGATTCATGTCAGAGTTAAGGTTATATGCTACCTAACACATTATACTTGTGTTTTTTGTCAGAGGTAAGGTTATATGTTATCATACACATTATACCTGTGATTTGTTTTAGACCTATTGTTATCTGCTACCCAACACTTTTCCTTGTTTTGTGTTAGACTAAGGTTATATGTTATCTTACACATTATAACTGTGATTTGTTTTAGAGCTATTGTTATCTGCTACCCAACACTTTTCCTTGTTTTGTGTTAGACTTAGGTTTATAACCTTACTTACATATGACATATACATTATTGTGTACCTTTCAAATGTTTCATCAATATTACTTACTAAGTCCATACAAATATTCATGAAATATATCTTAGTTTTAGTATTTTAAGCAGTATATTATTTCCTATTTTTTATTTTATTTTTTATTCTAATTCACAAATTATTTTGCAATGTTAAAAATATACAACTCTCAAATGTTTTGATCTATATTCAGATCTATATCTTAAGCTCAAATGTGAAAACAATTTTTTATGTGATTTTTTGTTTACTTTATATGACTGTAATAATGTGCATGTATGTATCTGCATAATGTTATAATCTACAACACTGCAAACATGTATGTTATGTTCACCGCTGTTTTATAAATTATGTGCAACACTATATTTGTTGTAGAGTACTCTATTATGTTATACTAACTTGCAATAATTCCATGTTATCTTCATATGAATCATTTTATTGAATAAATGTATTTGTGTTATATATGATTCTGACTTTTCTCTATTTTTAAAAGTCTCAAATAAGTTCTGGTGACTTATAATGTTGACTATTTTAGGCGTCGGACTGTCTACGATCACTAGCCCTCCACCACTGGGTCGTGGGTTTGAGACCTACGTGGGGCAGTCGCCAGATACTGACCGCGGGTCCATGGTTTCTGTCTGGGTACGCTGGTTTTTCTCCAAAATCAAAAACCTGACACGTAATTAAATGGTCATAGCTATTAATAGGCCCTAACACACAAACAACATAACCTACACCAAACCTATATAATTCCGGCCTCCCATCCCGATTTCATACGTCCAACCCTCTTTGTCCATTTCCATAGATGTATTTTCAGTACCAGGAAAAAAACTTGACCTGTCCAATTCATGGCCTGTACATCACACCGAAATGAAAACTTGATGAACTGAAATTATTTATTTTAAATGATATCCTTCTTACAGTGATGTGCTTTGAGTCTTTCACGGTACGTCATATGTTCCCTTTGTATACAACCGTCAAATTTGACGGTAGTATTATGGTATGGCGTTGTCCGGCCGACGTAAACTTTGTTTGTCCGGCAATCTCCTCCTACATTTTTCAACTGATCTATTTGATTCGACAATTTTTCCAAAATTTATTGCCTTTTGTTCATTTCAGTATTTGATTTTTTGTCTGAAGATTTTCTCCTACATTTTTTATAGCATGTCAGCTTGCCACTCTTAGAATGATGCAGATCTTATTTCAATGTAAGAAAGTATATAACACTATATGACATTCGACGGGCGTATTTGGTTCCGCCCCGCGGTACTCTTGTTATTATACATTGTATGTCAATTTGCTTTTATTCAAAATATTTTCGCGACTTCGTTTTATATCCAATTATATTAAAACTTGATATCCTATAACATAATATACAGTGTTACCACGGAATTAGATTAGAGGTTATCTAAGTCCGTGCACGTGGTGTTGTTGCTTTTCATCCAACCATACAAATATGACGTCATTTCAATGGACACAGATTTGTCGTATAAAATCCGGATAATAAACTCATTACAGTATAGTTAGCATTCTATGAAATGGGTAATAATTTGAATATTACCAATAGAAGCGCTGAGTAGTTCTCTAGCCGTGTGCCCAATTTCATCAATTTTTTTTTATTGAAAACAAAGCCAGGAAAATTCATTGCCGAAAGTAAAATAACATGGAATCTAATGGAGACAACGACAAAATGTGAAAGACTAACGGTATATCACTGTGTATTACAGTATATTACTGAATGCCAAATTAATATTGTGTGAAGACTGTTGATCAATAAACAGTTAGATTCTACATAATACATCATAAAATAATGTTTATTTTATAGAGATTGTCTCCCTTTTATGACTTTCCCTTTTGATATTCCAATAATCTCGGAACAAATATAGCTAATGAAATTCCTGCGAATTACTTATGTATTTCGCTTCAATTTTGATTTGACTTTGCACAGTATATTGTTTAATTGTTGACGACATCTTATCAGAATCCTATTGTTTAAAGTTGCTGTGCAGAAACTAGCAACCAATCAGAGTATGGTATATGCTAATTAATTTTGCACGGACTTTTGTTTCAACAACGAACTTAGCCTTCGTCTTCGTATAATACAGAGACATGCTACTTGTTTACAGCTAATATAGCTGTAACCAATATGTTGAGGTCCCTGTTATATATTGTACATATTTCCCACATTTTATCAAATTTATCTTGCGGAATCCGAAGTGTTGACGGACGTTCGAACGGACGCTACCTGGGCCATATGTCATGTCATTATTGACGGGCGTATGCAAAAATTAATGACGTCAAATTATAATATTTACATTCTGTATGCTTAGACCCATTGACAAAAATTACATTTATAAATGCATAACACAGGTGTTCATAGAATATCAGCACGTGGGAACTGATAGTAACCTGATCACACTGCGTAGTAATACACTACAAAAACTACTCACTCGGAACGACCGACCTAGATGCTTAATTCTTACATCTTAAAATACTATTGAACTGTGCTTTGTGAAATATCCACGTATTCACGTGTCCTGTACTACAAATAAACATTGAATATGGAATTACATTTTTTTGTGTTATTGTTGTTGACGGTTGCTAAGATCTCTCACGATAGTGTCCCATTTCCCCGCGAAAAAACACTGTTCTCGCCACTGCGTTGCACCCGTGTATAAGCAGGAACAAACCCTGTTTATTTGTTTTATTCGTTGTTATATCGATCCACTGAAAGGATTCGTCAATGTAAATATAAGGAATGATATTTATTTTTTGAACATTTATGAGGTCATAACAACAATGGGTTTATGGACATATTGTATGAATCGCGTTAGCGATTCATGTAAAATATGTCCAAAAACCCATTGATGTTATGACCTCATAAATGTTGAAAAAATAAAAATCATTCCTTAAATAACGTACAAGGAAAATGACGTTTGCGATTTTTATTGTTTGTGGTTAGAGAGAATGAAATATTTTCTTATCTAATTAATTCCATATTTATTTAATTAAATACACCTGTATTTATTTTCTGAGACGACACAGCGTTTACAGACGTATGGTGCAATTGTTAAAGCAAATTGTTTGAATTGTTTCAAAAAGTAAGACACAAAAAAAGTTAGAATATAATATTATTTAAGTACAATCTTAGTATCCTGGGCTTCTTAATTACATGTGCGTCTATTCAATTACACCCGAATACATTTAATGTACAACACTTTATTCAAGTTAAGTATTTATCAATTATACAAGGGGGGTCGGACAAGTTTTTCAACATAGTAAAGGCCTATCCTGAATACATATTGTTATAACAATTTACAGTGTATATTCGGTTCAGAATATAGTAATTACACACAAATGTATTACATAACGCTATTTTGCTTTCATCACATCAGGAAAGACAGACCATACCAGCTGAGAAAGACCGCCCTGCGTCACTACACAGGCATATATTGTCAACCATCCTCGATATCCGGGGGTTATGCTCTCTTGCCCTTTCTGCACCCATGTAATATGTCATAGCAAAATTGAAGGCACGCGGCTAGCTGTTTGATTGGTGTCAGGTCAAAAAACCTGATCAATCACTAGGCTGATACCTGTCATTTGATGATTACAGAAGCTTTTTATGTACATCAAAGGATAAAATTAGCCGTCTCGTCTCATCCACAAGGCGGTGCACACTGAGCCTTCGATTTTGCATATTCCAGGGAGGTAGAGAGCGAAAGTGAGTGAACCCCTGGATATCGAGGATCCGTATCAACCTACGGACATTGTTTCTAGAATATGCTAAACTATGTCTTAGTTTAAATTTTAAGTTACACCATAGTCTTAATCTCATATAATCACTCCGTCTCGGAAAGATGAATATGGAGCCATTCAGGTCCTTTTTGTGGCGACACAGCCTCCATCTCAGTAAGACGAAGATGAGGCTTCCTTCCTTACCAACGGATGAACACTTGCCTGCTAAAAGGTTCAGGCCCTTTCATGTAGCGAAACAGCCTCCATCTCAGTAAGACGAAGATGAGACTTCCTTCCTTACCAACGGGTGAACACTTGCCTGCTGAAAGGTTCAGGCCCTTTCATGTAGTGACACAGCCTCCATCTCAGTAAGACGAAGATGAGGCTTCCCTCCTTACCAACGGGTGAACACATGCCTGCTGAAAGGTTCAGGCCCTTTCATGTAGTGACACAGCCTCCATCTCGGGGGAGCAAAGTAGTATGCTCTCTTCTTTATCAACGGGTGAACATTGCCTGCTGAAAGGTTCAGGCCCTTTCATGTAGCGACACAGCCTCCATCTCAGTAAGACGAAGATGAGGCTTCCTTCCTTACCAACGGGTGAACACTTGCCTGCTGAAAGATTCAGGCCCTTTCATGTAGCGACACAGCCTCCATCTCGGGGGAGAAAAGTAGTATGCTCTCTTCTTTATCAACGGGTGAACATTGCCTGCTGAATGATTCAGGTCCTTTTTGTAGCGCCGAGTAGCACACGGAAACTTCATCGATGATGGGGTTGCTTTCTAATCTGCTTGAGTCAACTAAACAGTTCACCTACTCTTCATATGTAGCGTCAATAGCATTCGATTTACTTTGTGATATGTTCTGATTCTATTGGCTGGGAATTAGAAACAATACACCAGACACGTATAAAGCCATACGTACATATATGTCCCTGATATAACCGAGATTGAGATAGAGGGTATTTTAAGACTATATGTGATTTAAAACAAATGTAATATACGATGTTTTAACGGTTCGGAGATCGAAACCTGGCAATACTTCCACGGAAACGGTTGTGTTATGGGTGTCTTTTGCTGGTTCGTTGAAATAAACGCCTTAGAATGACATCTGGAAATACTATAAGACACCGGAAGTGGCCTCAAAACGCCTTAATTTCACCACATGATTATAGTTGGAAGAGTTGTCAGTCCAGCCAATTTGTAAGAAGCTTCTTGTTACTCACAATGGAAAAGTGCGAGTAGTGTTGGGAAGTTGCGGAGCGAATGAACATCATGTATATTCTCTTCATACTTGTAACAAAGTCTAACCAACATGGCTACCCCCACACAGAACCACGCTAGTCTGCCTCAACTTCCGTCTGATGTACCTGCCAAACTTCCGGGTCTTGCGTCCAAAGTTTGCAAAAGCTCGCTGTACAAATCCTGGGTTTCGATTCCGAGGACTTTCTAGGTCAAATTCAATGGTGATCGAGTTTGATAATATGTCATCATCAGAAAAATTGTCATATGCGTCTAAGAATGCCCGCGGCTCAATAGGTCTGTACCGTCTTCTCGTTTCAGGGGGATCCTTTTTGATGGCCGTCTGCGGAGATAGAGAAAAAATACAGTTATTTTTAAAAACGATTGTCTTGAAAACAAATCCAAAAAATTAATAATATTGTCTCTCTCACGCGAAATAGTGAACAAAAAAGAAAGCTTTTGTCAACAACTCATATTATCATATATATATTTGGATGGTACTACTAAATGTAGCTGTGCATGTGGAGGCAATATTATTCTCGACAGACCCATCCAAGCATGCGCCATATCCGGTTGGCACGAGCCATATCCGGCCCGTTTGGAGGATATGGCTGCTTGTTTGGAAATGGAAATCATCATATGATCACTAATCAATATATTGTGTACTGATGCACATTTCATACCTATCCAATTGTCAATTTTAGCCAGGTTTTGTTTTTAAATTACCCCCAGCCCAAGCGAGACCTATGGGCACTTCCTGTAAACGAGTATTTTCTCGTTTACGGAACTGAAGTGCCGACGGTTCCCGACAGTCGGTCAATGATAACATTAAGAAAATCAAAAAAATAAACTAACTAAAAAGTCACCTCTTTTAGAATGTCGTTTTTACTTTCAGACATTACGTCACCAATGTCGCCATCTTTCTTAAGATCAATATCAAACATGGTGACGTCACCGAGCGTGGTGACCTTAGGAATGAACTCTGGGACGACGGAAGCGCCACGGTAAACATTTGTAGATGCCGTCGCCTTATGAGGATTCCTTGGTGAATTGTCATCATCCTTATTTGCATAATCGTCGTCCGCATCGGTTTTAATGACAGGCGATTTGCATTTTTCCAACATCACATCCGGGGACTGTAACTTCAGACCCCTTTTAGGCAGAGGCACATTTCCCTGTAATTGTATTATTACATTTAAATGTTCATCGTTGTCTACATTATACATTGGGTGATCAAGTATATCAGATCAATTTTACTTATTTTTCACAACTATTATGGAACAAATTTTATCAGCTTGTATTAATCATTCTTGTTGGTTCGAACTAAAGCGCGCGAAGGGTTTAATTTACTAATACAGCAAACCGGATAACCCAAAGAATACAAACGTCGATCAGGGAATCGAACCCCTTCCATCTTGGTGAAAGGAAAGTGCGCTATCCACTGCAACAACCAACCACAAAACATTAACAATCAAAAATAAATACTCTATCAAATTATTTACAACTTCGTTGAGATGGTTGTGTGTTGCTTCTACTACTACTCAACTAATAGAAAATACATAGTGAATGAAAGTAAGTAAATAGTATCAATTCCTAATTGTTCCAACATTATTGTAGATTAAAATGGAACACACGGCGAAATCACACAGATGAATAACTCGATATGTTTACCGTTGGGTGGATTCCCACTTGAGATTGTAGAAGGTTTCCGGTTGAATAACTGGTATTTCCTTGGAGGGAGGCCGCCGCCTTCTCGGACTTCAAAAGAAAGAAACCTGATTGAGGGACCATCTCTTTTTAAGAGAACTCTCGTGTTTGGAGACCCCGTTTAAAGCTCCTGGTTGTGATGTTAACTGACCCTATATTATGTACCTACTATCAATAAGAGGCAAATATATAGACTTCACAATATTGTACTTTTTTCTTCAATACATATTCATATATATTTAAATATCTTTAACTCGACACAGTAGTGTGGCCTGCCCATGTGTGTTCGTACTGTCACTTGTATTTAGATGACGATTTTTTTTAACCGAAGTACACTAAATTTAGACTTCATAAAGATATTCTATCGGGACAGGAGGGAGCCAAAAACTACCATATCTGATTGATTATCATTGCTATACTTCTTACTTGTCAAATTTTAAACTTAAAAAAAAATACATGTTTTATGACAATAAAAATGAACGAGAGATACAATGATATGTATCTTTTTTGAGCATTTCAATATACACAAACATATTAGTCTATCTATACCTTACCGCATATTATTTTTGAGGAGTTCCGCATTCTTCAAAGAAAAAACTATCAATTTTCCATATATCAAATGGTAAACTAACCTCACTGTTTTTAAATTTGGCGATTCAGGAAATATTATGACATACTATTTAACAGTTATGTAAGTGTTATTTTTCCTACATATGTAAATTGAAAGTAAAATATCAGTAAGAAATTGGAATTGTGTAAAGTTGTTAGCCCTCCGGACAAACTATGTTTACAAACATGAATCGTGACATGCTTGTGTCGATCGGGAACCGCTTACGGAAAGTGCCGACGGTTCCCGATTAATTCTTGTGTATATCAGTACCTGATGTAACCCCGGTAAGTTTCCGTATCAAGAATAAGCCATGTTTTCTCTTCGTTTGATGATTTTTTCTTTTCTTCTACGGACTGTCAGTCCCTGTTCTATATTTTCCAGCTATAGTACCGTGCAAATTGTTGAACAATAAATGTCACGTGTCTTAGAACAATGGACGTCACATGACGTCGGTGACATACTTGGTTATTTTCCCTGATAACATTTTCGCTGTTTGCACTTATAAGTATTTGGTTATTGGTTTGTTAGGGTTATGTTTTCTCCACAACCACTCTTTTGCATACTTATCCTACTTTGGGTAAAGGGTACCCGAATATCCTAATACTGTTGTCACGATTAACATATATACTTATTGAGTCATTTTGTAAGGAAGAATTTCATATAAATCAAATCTTTTTACAATTATTCAATAGTCAAATAACTAAATAAAGAAAAATAAATAAAGAATACATAAAATAGAAATGATTGGATATAATAAAAACTGTAGGGCCGAACTGGGGATGTATCGGCTGACATTCATGCACATTACCACCGTTGCTACCGAGAAAATATAAATAAATGGAAATCAAAATGAATACATTAATAAGTTAAGTAACTAGAGATGGCTTTCACAAGCTATGAGCTTGTTTTCAATTCCCTATTCATCGATTTCATGTGTTTTTATATGACTATTGTTGTAATTATTGAATAAGATATTGTTCAAACTAATAATTTATACAGAATGTGTTTTTGCTTCATCTTCGGCAAAGATGGGAGAATAACACAACCCTTTAGTGTAACTCATCTTCGAAATTATACCTAGTGCAATATTGACTTACTCGGATGTACCCGTGCGGGCCTGACGTATTATATTATTGTACAGGTACATTTGTTTATGTAAAAAATGAAATGAATGTCATAGCAAGGTAAAAATGTTCCCAAGAAAGATCTTTTAAAAAAATCTATCAACGGGCACCATTTGCTATGAAATATGCTAACTAAGAACATATAAATAATATGATATCAAAGTTTTCCTTTCTACACAAACAATTTACGTATGAAATACGTACATTGTTTTTGTAGAAAGTAAACCTTTGATATCACATATTTCCAAACTGATGAATCTTATTAAAGATATTAATAATAGTAGTACAGAATGTTTAATCGTAATGTGATATTTAGCTACATGCATATTGAAGCTCTATAAAATTCGGCGCAGATAATCGATAAAAAAAACTAGAAATATCGTACAGTCTTGGCATTTTGGAGAAACCTTCTTATCAGTATTTATAAAAAAAAACTTGTTCATTTTCTTGTAAACATTATTGTCATTACAGGTACCTGTAATTCCTGCAAGTTTCCGTATCTAGAATAAGCCATATCTTCTTGTTTGATGTTTTTTTCTTTTCTTTCTCAGATTGACTGCCAATGTTTATCTATGCTTTCCCGCTTAGAACCGCGCAGCGACAACAAATGTCATGTGACTTAGAACAATGAATGTCACATGACGTCGCCGTCATGATCGGTTATCTCCCCTGATAATATTTATTCGTTTGTTTAATAAGGGTTTGGCTCCTCGCAACAACCAAGCTCATATGACGAACGTCATTCTCCAGAAATTCAGGACACACCACTTTGCATCAATGTTTTGTAATTTGAAAAAATGTATGCTGGTACATTTGCGTTTTTTCAGTTTGTTTTTAAAGTATGTTTACCGTCATGTTTGTGACCTGGCTTGTATTTAGCCGTGTGAACGATGCCATCTGGAATCGATCAGTTTGCACTTAAAAGCAGGGTAAATGAAAAAAAAATCTCAAAATTAGCAAAAGGGTTATTTTGGAGATTCATAGCATGGCGGTGCATTCTCGATGTAGCGTTGAGTAACAAATTCTTGAGCCTTTAAGGCGGAAATCGCCGAAAAACCGGATTATAACGGAATTAAACAAAAGGATGCTTCATGATGTTTCCAACAATGTCAGGTCTTTACTTTAACCTAAACCGTCAGTTTGTCATCACTTCCTCTACTCTACAATGACAACTTCTTCACCTAAGAAGATAATTGATAAGATGTAAATGATAAATATCTTTAGAATTTGAAGGAAGTCACGTATCCCTGTTTCAATGTTGCATTTTTATTAAAAGTACATGTATGATAGGCTTTTCGGGTTACTTCAACGAATATCAATACATGAATATTTAAGAAATATTTCAAAGCGTTAGAATTAAGTGATCTCCCTTTAAAGGTGTCATTCAGAGGACCAGCTTAGAACTTAGACTATGCGACTTCTACGGCTGTAGAAAGTATTTTTCTCGCACGCGACAAAGACAAAAGAAATCTTCTTTTCAAAAAAGAAATGCTATCACCTCCGGTAAACAATTTTTAGATACTTCGTGACAAATATGATATATCGAATGTTGCTGTATGTAGCATGTATAGGTTTGGAGACCTATTTTCATATTTGCTGTGTTGTTTCCTCTTCGCCTCATTATTATTCCTCCCCGCCCTCTTCATCTTTTTCTACCCCTTCTTCCGCTGACGTTTACTGCAAGACTATTTGCAAAAAGGTAATGAAATAGATCATGCAGATGTGCACAACACAATTCTTTTTCTGATTGACAATCAAACACGACTGTCGCTGCTTCTGACATGTAAGACATTATGGGTGTAAGCCAAGGGATGCCAATGGTCCATTTCTTTGTCTGATTGTTTTTCTCAATTATGGTATTGAAGTGTATCATGGCATTGCGAACACTTTGCAATACATAATTTGCGCCTGGGGAAGGGCAGTTTGGAACACTCTTGTAATGGTCCCGTTGTGCCTGAGGAGGGGCAGTTTGAAACACTCTTGTAATGGTCCCATTGCGCCTGGGGAGGGACAGTTTGGAATACTCTTGTAATGGTCCCGTTGCGCCTGGGGAGGGACAGTTTGGGACACTCTTGTAATGGTCCCGTTGCGCCTGGGGAGGGGCAGTTTGGGACACTCTTGTAATGGTCCCGTTGCGCCTGGGGAGGGGCAGTTTGGAACACTCTTGTAATGGTCCCGTTGTGCCTGGGGAGGGGCAGTTTGGAACACTCTTGTAATGGTCCCGTTGCGCCTGGGGAGGGGCAGTTTGGAATACTCTTGTAATGGTCCCGTTGCGCCTGGGGAGGGACAGTTTGGAATACTCTTGTAATGGTCCCGTTGCGCCTGGGGAGGGACAGTTTGGGACACTCTTGTAATGGTCCCGTTGTGCCTGGGGAGGGGCAGTTTGGGACACTCTTGTAATGGTCCCGTTGCGCCTGGGGAGGGACAGTTTTGGACACTCTTGTAATAGTCCCGTTGCGCCTGGGGAGGGACAGTTTGGAACACTCTTGTAATGGTCCCATTACAGTTAAATGTTGTTTTATGTTTTTTTGATGGTTGTATTTTCAAGCTCTCAATTTTCTCCTCATTATCATGTATCAAACGGATGCCCTCTCTTGATAATGATGGCCGACTTACACTAGTATCATGTCCTTTGTTTTGCCTCCTTTTCTCTGCATTATCAAATACATGTAGATAAAAAAGAATAAAGAATAACTCTTGTCTGTCCAGCACTTCCAAAGATTTAATATAACACAAGCTGTTTTTAACATCAATACCAGCCGACGTCCGAAGAGAAGCAAATCAACATCTCCATCAATATGTATTCCTTCTGATGAAGGAAAATATACTTACCAGTTTTGGGGCCGCGGTGGCCAAGTGGTTAGGGGGTCTGACATTCTGCTACATGTACCACTAGCCACTCCACCACTGGGTCGCGTGTTAGAGGCCTACGCGGGGCAGTTGCAAGGTACTGGCCGTAGGTCGGTGGTTTTCTCCGGGAACTCCGACTTTCCTCCACCACCCAAACCTGGCACCTAAGTCCTTAGTATATAACAAAAATATAACCAAAATGACCATAGCTGTTAATAAGACGTAAAACACAAACAAACTTACCAGTGTGAACCATATCATCAGTGTCAACTGCTATCAGTGTTAACGTAAGGCCGATGTGAACGTATGCGAACATTGTTATAAGTAACATTTGTATTAAATCATCATTTTACATGTATCATTATTGCTATAATGTAAATATATATATTTATGACATTATTACATTTTTTTTTATTCACCACAAAACCAGGAGAAACCATAATTGATCATCTGCCCGATTGCAACTATCTGGATATGCAATCTGATAAAAACCATATGTTTGTTTGTTTGTTTGTTTGATTTTGTTTAACGTCCTTTTAACAGCTAAGGTCATTTAAGGACGGCCTCCCCTGTGTGCAAGATGCATGCGTGTAGTGTATGTGTGTATTTTGGGAGGCTGCGATATGTTCGTGTTTGTCTCCTTGTGATAGCGCGGAACTGATGCCGACTTTATAGTGCTACCTCACTGAAACATACTGCCGAAGACACCCAGCAGGACGCCCCACCCGGTCACATTATACTGACAACAGGCGAACCAGTCGTCCCACTCCTAATTTGCTGAGCGTTAAGCAGGAGTAGAAACTACCATTTTTAAAGACTTTGGTATGTCTCGGCCAGGGGACAGAACCCAAAGCCTTCCTCACAGGGGCGAACGCTCAACAAATGGCCAAAAGTGAGGCATTGTCAAGGGAGACATTAGGAAGAAGAAAGTTATTTAGAAAGGAGAGAAGAGATAAGGTCCCAAATTTAGTCGCCTCTTACGATCATGCAATTGGGGGCAGCAGGTACAATTCTTACGCCCTACCTGCAGGGGGTAAAATCATATGTTACATGGCTTCGTTAACTTCGTGCTCCGCCTGAACATCTGAGTGTACCGCGGTCAGGGTCACGTTCAGGTGACCTTTATATTTATAAATACTCATTAAATTTTGATCAATATGATACCCTCTTTCAAAAGGGCGCTCAGAGTTGTAACAAATATGGCGGATATTGATGAGAATGGTGCAAAAGTTCTGAAGTTATTTGAGATTGAATAATCTGAAACCCGAACAGAAAAAGATATTCGAAGCTTTATTAGAGATGAAAGACTGTATGGCGGTGTTGCTTACGCAATTATTACCCAATTGGTACGTTTTCCTTGGCGTCGTAGAAACGTCAGTTCCCGCCGCCATATTTGTTTTGAAAAACTAATCTGTTCGATACCCCTCGCTATTTATATATCAACCATGATATTCCGGTTCGCTGGCAAACTTTTGCCAGCGCGCCTCTGATTGGTTCATCTAAAGGTCACATGAACGTGACCCTGACCGCAACACATTCAGATGTTAAGGAGGAGCCATGTAACAGATGATGTTAATCAGATTGCTGGATATGTATCTTGTACTATATAATGACCAATTATCCATTGTCTTCAAATGACCTTAGCCATAGCGGAAGGCAAAGCCCCGAACAAAAACAAAACAAAAATCAAATAAACAACTTGACAAACCAACCACAAGCATCATTAAATCACACATAGAATTACTTAAATACCTTATCAAGTAAGACAGGTAAGCATGGCGGCCAGCGAACCGTCCAATGACTAACTTGAGACTGGATATGAAATGAATCTATCGTGATTCGTTAAACGGTAGCTTTCAGGTCACGTGTTGCTTAGAACAACGTCGTACCAGTCACGTTTCATCTCAACACGTTTATTTAATTGTTTGTTTATTGTTTTGCGTCCTCGAAGCAGCTACAATCTTCAGAAAAACGTGTCCCACAGATTATCTGGCCACTCGAAGGACCAATTTAAATAATCACTACATGCAGAAATAAGAAAAAAGGATAACCAATTTTAAAAAATTGTTTGGATGCATATAGTCAATATATAGGTACTATTTGCTGTGCTATATGTCTGTTTTGTCCATTTAAGACTCGGTAATAAAGCACAAAACAATGCAAAAAAACAATCCACATCTAAAGGATACAGAAAAATATGTAAAATATAACCCTTTATACATTTTTGTAACGATACACATTTAATCTAGACACCCAACAGATGATTTACTCTTGTGCGTGTTTTTCATGTAAAAGCTTGCTAGATCAAACTCCAATCTCAATATCATGTCCCAACAAGGACAAAGTTGTAGGACATTTTACTTGGTTTCATTATTCGCACATTTGGTTACGCAGATATGCTTAGGAAACCACACTATAAGAACAAGAGCAGATCGGAGAAATAAGGAAAGACACCCCATTGTAGCGCTTATTATTTTATTTTTTTTACCTCTATCTTGTTTTTTCTAACTCGATACCTACTATTCTTTAATTAATACAAAATCAGTAAATAAGGAATTAATACAGATAATGTAAGTGGTTTTGCAAAATGATAAATTTAACTGATTCTGGATACTAATCGAACATTTTTAAAAGCCGTTTCATCTAATTGACATCGATATCACTCACAAAATCATAGGGCCATTTCAGCGATGCTTTTTATATGAAAGTCATTACGATTACCAAATGAACACACCGGAAATGAGTTTCTCAACACCTGATTTATTCTTGCCTTGCTATGTGATTCATTATGCCCTTCAAATTAGATATACATGAAAGCTTTATTTAAATTCGGTATAGTTACAACCGACAAAACATAAGCTCTAATGAGCTTTTAACCGAATACATACAAGTATAGTTAAACAACAACATAAAAACAAAATCATGCAAGCAAATTAAAAATAGAGAAAGCACACATAAAAGTAAGCAAACACTAAAAATGGCAGAGCAATTGAGATATTGTAGAATGGACATTTTCACTTGGAAAGGTCTTGGATAATAATAAAAATATAAAAAAGTGCTGGATAATTTCCTAATCGATGGCCGAATTTGATCAAAATTGAATAAAAATGCGAAGAGAGGAAAACTTATTGAAGAAAGGTAAATTAAAATAAGCTCCAAGGGGAAAAAACGTAACGAGAACGACATATCATACATGTCACTAAAGCATGTGTGAGAAACTATTTGACAATTACTTGTCGTCTATATGACCACTGTTAAAGAACATATATCTAATTAAAGCGTTGGAATCTGAACTACTTCATAACTCAGTGACGGATCCAGGGGGGTTTCAAATTTCCAGGGGGGGTTTCCATGTGGGGAAAAAGTTAGGAAAATGGTGAAAATGCATGATTTTTTAAAGAAAATTCTCAAGATGGGGGTTTATTTGAAGCCCAAAAAAACCCTGGATCCGCCACTGAAACTGGTAGTCTAATACATTCTACCTAAATGTAATGTCAATGGTCACAACTGACCAACAAAGACACTATAAACCCCCAGGGCATGTGGTCACGATACAGCGAGGTCTCGAGGCGATATGTCACTGTCACATCTAAATATCTTGTGTAGATATGACATATATCTTCAAATGTACGTTCACAGGTACTCTACTGAACGTGACATTGACAGACTGCACCTAGCGTACTGATATTAATAATAATAATTTATGATGGATATTTGTACGTAACATATTCATAGCCACAGTCAAGCTTGTAAATGGTCAAGCGATCACTATTTTGACAAATTTGACCACATAAGCAAAATAAAACATTCTTAACTGCAATCATTAAAGAAAAAATGATTTTAGGTTAGCTTGCTATTGACTGCAAGTATTTTAGAAAATTGATTAAAGGTTTGCAAATATCAATGATACCGTATATATAGTTATAAATCATGCATTAGTTTATTTTTATTTTTGAGAACAACGGAAATTATTGCTTTTGAAAAATACGACGGCAAACGTATTCCAAATAACTTACCTTTTATTGACCATTAAAAGCAACTTTGATTTTAAATGCCTTAGCATAGGTCAATCGGGATGTATTTACTTTTCTAACAGTACCTTTTGTTATTATATTCATGTAATTTGCTTTTAACAACCATGCTTATTCTTAACTAATTTTGTTTGTCTGTGTTTTACGTCCTATTAACAGCTAGGGTCATTCAAGTACGTGCCAGGCTTTGGCGTTAACAATTGCCGGTTTACTGTTACTGCGAAAGTGGAAATATTCGCGGTGTGGATATTTTCGCGACAGCAAAAGTGAATATAAATTTACCTTTTTGATCTTTAAATTGATTATAGATTAATCAGTATTTAATGAATGTCATCTTTATAATCAATAACTAATTCGTGAGTAGATATTTTCGCGCACCGCCAAAATTTCCTCTTTTACAGTATGAAAACAACACTCAAATGACTTGAAATAACTTATGTACATTGCTCCCTTCAGAATTTTATATATTCAAATTGAGGAAAACGTACCAATCACCAAATAATCTAGCGATTAGTTCGTCTTCATCACTTGGCGGGAGGCAGACTTCGTACGATATGCGTACGCGCAAATAGTCTGCGGTTAATTTATATAAATTAATGCAATGCTGCATACTCTCAATACTCAAAGACGTTCATCTACTATAATTTTTTTCACGAAGTTGTTGCCAAAATATTTATTTTGACAATTATTAAATGTAAAAAGAAAAAAGTCATTTTTGAATATTAATGAGTGACTTTGTACATATGGGTAATATCACTACGCCAGCCTTGTCAACAAACACATGTGTGTATGTTATTCAAATCAGGTCACACTCCATCTGTTTCTGACTGAGATTTCGGTAGAAAGTGTTCAAAGCTCAAACTCGTGTCTTTTGTAACTTTTGAAAATTAACTAACTCGAGTGAAATAAATACCATATTCAACAACCACTCGTTATGTTATCTCTATATAGTGTACCAAATTAGTGTCTATATCATACAAGATCGATGAAAAGTTTTTACAAGATATTTTTAGCGTGGCTCTATCGCGCTTAAAGGGAAAAAAATGGATCGAAACTGTGGAATATGCGACCTCTCTTTGGGGTAAATGACGTAATAACTATTGTCGTCATTCTGAAGTCACACTAGAATATTTTACCTGCGGCAACACGTATGGGTATATTCACTGCACAGCAACAATAATGCAATACAATCAGAATCTTCAAAAGTGTCTATTTTATAGGAAATTAAACTAAATGTTTTCAAATACAATGCTGGTTTTGCCAGCTCTTGATATCATGGTTATAAGTAAACAGATGACTGACAAAGTCTGCTTAATTTGTGACATGCTGTGTCGAAGTTAGAACCGTGATAATCTCGTGACTATTAGGCATAGACGTCAATAGGGGATTGGGAGATCATGGATGTTCACACAATCATATACGCCGTACAAAAGAGTCGATGACGTCATAGAAGATTAGGCATTTTGAAGTCAATTAAAAAAAAACATATAAATTTTAAGGTTGTTAAAATATAAACATTATGCTATTAATACAAATATGCGTAAATGAAACAATATCAAATACAAATCTGTCTTTTAATACAGGTGAAATTCACAAATAAATCACTTAAGTAGGGAACATAAAAGTGACTTCTTAAACACAGGTGGTCTCTTTAATGAGGTAGTAATATGTACAGTTTTGATGTTTGTTTCTGCATATACATTATATGATAATGAATATTAATACAACCATTATGTACTTATGTTGGAAATATTGAATGTAATTAAGCAGAAATAAAAACCCAATATATGTATGCACACATAACTTTTTTAACATTAAACATGTCATACGTAAGATGGTCACAATGAAATCTCAACCCCATATTACTATTTATTTCATGACTTTCGACTTTTTCCTTTTAATATAATTAAATCAATTTTGAAAGAAGATTTTTAAATTATTTTCTTGTAAAATTTCTTTTTCTCAAATTATTGGTTCTTGAAAAAGGACATTTCTTAAGTTCTTATGCAAGAAAAAAACAAGAAAAAAACAGTGCGTGAAAATAAAAAAAAATATTCTGAAAACAAGCTTAGTACAAAATATCGTTTCATTTGCATTGCACAATATGCAGGAAAAACTATGTTGAACTATAAAATAAAACAATCGATGACGCTGTCAAATTATCACGTGTGCATTTTGCAGGTATTATCCATGGTTTGGCGAGACATATACATCATGTTACAAGAGGCTGTCTGTTCAACGGGCATGGCGACATCAGATTATTGACATTTATAGTACACCTTCTGGTGATCGACAAGGCGAATAGGTTATGTAATGTCTGAAAAATACAATGGACAAAAGGAATGGTTGACACTAATGGTGTTCTTTTTCCTGGACAAAAATATCAATGATAATGTTGTTATTTATTTCAATACACAGAATAATTATTGCTTGACTGTTTTTGTCAAGAATTTATGTACTATTGAATATGGGATGAATTTTACTATGTAACGGAACTCATTCTCTATCCTAAAAACACAGAATCACCTTTAAATTCTGTTAACGTTTAACAATAAAAAAATAAAAAAAATAAAAAAATAATAATTACTAAATGTGTATCTTAAATAAATGGTTTCAAAAGATTTTAAATTCAATTAAATTGCAATAACACACCGGATTCAAACAGAGCACCCTATAGACATATACCAAATCTTAACATGTTAAGTTGAACAGATGGAACGGTTTTATGATAATAAATCAATATCAACTGTTCTATATGGCTATCTGTTTTGCGTTACTATTATTAGAGTAAAACCTCGTTATAATGCCCTTCGTTTCATTTGCCACCTCGTTTACCGTCAATATATTCCAATGTCCCTCTCGTTTTCTTGATAATTCCTTTATACATTTCTCTCAAGTAATCAACAAACCCATTTCTCTGGTGGAAGTATAACGAGCTTTTACTATATATTTGTTTGTATTTGAAAAGGTGATAATAAGTTGATATCACTTGGGCCTACTCCTCTGCTACTCTGACAAAATGTTGGCCATTAAATAAGCTTAAACTCAATACATCCAATGCAAATATATGAGCTGGACATGAAATTCACATCTACTATGAAGCTGTTCGCTAATACCTTGTACAAGTGTGGAAGGTAGTCTGAATCAAAATTATCCAAAATTATCAGCTAATAATCTATCCTTTTGATTCAACTTATGTACATTTTTTTTAATTGAGAATATATTTATATTACACACAGCCAACTGGACATCCGATAAAACCTCTCCCATAGAACCACTTCTGACCAACGCTTCCATGACCTGTCAAATCCCTCGTGTATGTGTGTCACTAGAAATGTCCAGACTGCGTCACCTTCGACAGGACTGGACATTAATGCAGGATTGTCTGAATGTCAATCATCTCACTCCACGTAAGGTGTGGGTACAGACAATCACTGTTGAACTGTGCCCATGGGGGATAGACATGGTAGACCCTCCCAAAGTCTCCTAGCATATATAAGGCGTCCAGAACTTCGGATTGGCATCAGTTTTCATCTGCACAACTCTGAGGTCTACAAACGCACAACCGTCTCTCTAACAGTATGAAGACCTGCTTTCTTGTCGTCGTTTTGGCTCTTGCCCTGATCAGCTGTGCCTCCGCTCAGGTCGGTGGGATGCAGAGTTTAATGATGATGTCCATGCTCGACACTCCGGATAGTAAGTGTTATATATATTTCGATTTTTTCTTGTATTAGCAGCAAAGTATTGTAGCCTACGCATTGTGTATGGACGGAGATACTATTTCCTAGACAAATGATATAGAAATTTTGTATAATTGGTGTCTTCGCATCTCACTTCTAGGCCTTGTTTGAAAATGATCCTGATTTGGAAGAAATGCCATGCTTTTAGTTAGTCATACATATCTGCGGCCTATGAAGGAATAGGTGATCTTCTTTCAATTTTGTTGTTTGTTGCAACAACGATGCATTGTGAGTTTTACAATGCATGAGACAAATGACCACATTTCGTTATTATATGTGGTATATTCGATCAGTTTCAAACTTGTCGTTTCGTTTCTTTTCTTGTAGTTTTGTTCAATATCAATATACTCTGTAGTAGGTAAAAACTTGTGGTGACATATTAAATCTAATGCATAGTATTGCGCTACACGCTTGATGTCTTCTGTTTTTAACTTATATCCGCTTCGATAATGCTTTCTTATTTTATTGGTTCTTTCAATGCATTTTTTAAAAATATTATTCGGGTTCTGTGGTACTCTAATAAACAAACAAAATGTATGTTGGTATTCCATACATTTTTCTATATTTTTCTTTGCATCTAATGCATTCTCCATATATTTGCAAATTACGTTTTTTCGTCTGCGATATCTCAGAACCTAGATATTTATAAATCATAGTTACTAAAATTGAAAACAAAATATAGTTATCCGGAGAAAATCGTATAGTTTTAATTTGATGTATTGGCAAACACAAAGCACATATTTGTGATATGTTCATTTTATTCATCTCTCTGTTTAATCCTGAAGTCTTATCTCCGTGAGAAACAAACATATATATCAAGGAACCCAATTGGCACAATATTTAGATAAGCCATATAGAAATATTGATATACCTAGAAACTATTTAAGACGTTAGATTAAAAACGTTCATTCCATGCATCAGTCGTAATATACATGTTGCAGCTTTCGGTCCTGTTCATATGCATACACTATTTCATCGCTGTTTATACTAATACTGCAATTGTTTTCTTTCAAGTGAGGACACTAATGATGTGCCAGATGTGCATGAGGAACCCAGGTGCAAACATTATGACCTGCTCGATGATGGGAATGTGTGGAAACTAGCCACGTGGCCAAAGTTATGCGATAGAGAGGTTAGAACAATTTATAATGTAAAGACACCTTGTCTTCCACGTCATTACATCTATAATTCACAATACAGGATACAGGATAACGTATTAATCCATGGTGCTTTGAGTACCACTTGTATAGTACAATTACCATCAACATCTCTACGTCTACACAGTACCGCCATTTGCCGATCACAAAGAAAACAAGGATGTGCTGAAAACCATCTGATTTCGATGACGCTATCCAAACTGTGATGCATAGTTCGTCATTTCCAGTGCAAGAAGAACATTCCAGTGACGTCATTGAAATTAGTATTTAAAGGAACATCATTTTCGTATTTAAAAATTCATCACATAATTGTCATTGCTATTTATTAAACGCCATACATTTAACAAAAATAGTGTGTTTGTTGTTTATGCAATGGTTTCCTCGTGACACAGCTGGTTCAAGCGTAAATACTGTATACCGGCAAACTTTCGTCATTAACAGGTAAAAACCATATTCTCCCTTCACATAACTATATGACTAAATAGTATACGCAGTATGCTATGTTTTGAAATAGGATGACAGGATTCATTCTCCCTCATTGTGGAGGGCAAAAAGGCGAACGCACAACTGCAAGCAAAACTTTCCCCTTATTCAGTAATGTATTATGCTTAACAGAAGGTAACCATACTCTTAATATTTTCTTCATGTTTTCCCGTAATTTCTGAGTTAGAGTTTGATATCAATGTATATACAATTTATCAGTCACTCGATAATGGGAAAGACGTTTGTTCATTTTTTTTTAGATGTATCAAAGGCTTTTGACTAGGTGTGGCACCATGGGTTACTGTATAAGCTCCAAAGTATAGGTATAGATGGGGTTCTACTTAATTGGATCTCAAGTTACTTAAATAATAAACAGCAGTTCGTCGTTCTTAAAAGAAAAGACTCCAGTTCTATGTATACAAATGCTGGGGTTCCACAGGGATCTATTTTAGGTCCTCTTTTCTTTATAATTTACATAAATGATATTAACCATACCTTACAATGTAATATACGTCTTTTTGCTGATGACACATCTCTCTCTAAAGAACTTTAAAACGAAACCTCTATAACAATGCTTAACAATGACTTACAAAAAGTATCTTTATGGGCAAACAAATGGCTAATTACTTACAATCCAAACAAAACAGAAGTTGTATTTTTTTCTAAGAAACCAAACATAATAACGCCTACAATAAAATAAAATAATATAGCTATAAAGCGAGTTTCTACACACAAGCATCTTGGTTTAAAACTTTGTGAAAACTTAACATGGACATCTCATGTCTCTGATCTAGTTACAAAAGCAAACAAAATTCTAAATATTTTCCTTACTTTATGTTATATTATTCCTCGTTCCTGTATGGAAGCTTTATATACATCAATTGTTCGATCAACATTTGATTATGGTGATATTTTATTTGATAGTTGCACGCAGGCAGAACCTCATCTTTTAGAAGGTGTTCAGCGTAGATCTGCACTTATATGTACCGGTGCGTACAAAGTAACTAAAGATTATAAATTATTATCTGAATTGGGATGGGAAACCCTTAAAGATCGCAGAAGACATCATCGTTTTACCCTGTTGTACAAAATAAAACACAACCTGTGTCCTTCATACTTTCATCACTTATGTCCACTTCAAAGCCACCGAACTAGCAACTATAATTTTAGAAATATGAACACAATACTACCCATAGCTACTAAAAAAATTATTCTATCAGTCCTTTTTTCCTAAGACAATCAGAGATTGGAATAACATACCAGAAAAAATTAAAACATCCGCTTACAACTATTTCGAAATTCTCTTAAATCTTCAGGTACTAATATCATCTTTTCATATGGCCATTGCAATCACAAAATAAATCATGCACGTATAAGAATGGGACTAAGTGCTCTTAACAAACACAGATTTTCATACAATCTAACACCCAATAAGTACTGTGATAACTGTTTAAATTTGATTGCAGACGAAAAACATTTCTTTCTTTACTGTCCAAAATATCAGAATGTCAGACATACCCTATTACAAACTGTATCTAGAATTATATCACCAAACGTAAATCCAGACACTGTGCTTAATTTAATACCTGATCAGCTCTGTACATTAATAATTAACGGCTCAAACTCTCTTGACCAACAGACCAATTCCCACATTTTTCAGTCTGTCTTTAAATTTATCGAGGGAAGTAATAGATTCAAGTAGACTCTATATCTGTCTGTCTGCCTGTCTATTCCACCTCCCCTCTTTCCATCGCTCTCTCTGTCTGTCTGTCCGTCTTCCCCTCTCATCCTCTCTCTGTCTCTCTCTCCCTCTCTCTGTCTTTCTCTGTCTTTCTTCCTTCTTATTGTTCTCCGTGTATTTGTCTGTTTGTGTGTGTGTGTGAGTTGGTGTGTTGTGTGTGGGTGTGTATGTGTCATGAAGTGGTGCGAATGACCAGTGCAACTGTTCATGAATTTCCTGTATTTTGTACTGTATGTTAATAATGTAAATGTTGTACCGTTCACTTGTTTGTTAAATATGAGAAAAACGAATAGTAGCCCTTGGTCTGTTCGTAATCCTCGTGAAACAAATAAAGAATTATATTATATAATGTATATCAATACAAATTCTACTAAATACGCCTGGTTTAAAAAAGCTGCTAAACTGAGCCATAAGCATATGCACTACGAATTCTTTTGACAACGAACCATTTTAGGAGAGTTATTGCACGGAATAAGTTGATCTGTAAGGGGAACCAAACACAATTAACCTGACACACTCTAATACGTATGAGCACACCTTATCTGATTGAAAATAAGATATTGCAAGTGAAAATATTGTTCAGATACCAATGAAGCAATGAAAAGTAGGCAGTTTCAATAGTTATAAATATAAATAATGCATAAAATTGGAAAGAAACTTGTCCTCGACACTTTGCAATATTCATGTGCACACCTAATTTGTCTAAACTATTTTAAGAGGAATTATTGCGCGGAGACCAATCGACTAATCAGAAGTAAATAGCCTTATTAATTATGATAAATTATCAACGTTCGTTTGAGCAATCGATACTCAGCCTGATACTTTCCGATATAAAAGTGAACACAAAATTTGGTAACTAACAGCCGTGGCTGACAAACAAAAAGACGGACTTACAAACAGGCTGACGCACCTCAATTAACCTCACCTGTTTTCTCCAAGAGCAGAGAATAGCAAGGATAAAGCTTTCTAGGAACATGTAGAAGCATTCCTATCGTGAATGATAAATATTTGTATTATGGTATATGAAGAACAACTAAATCAATGTGACAGACGTTTATTTTCGTTTGGATGAACGCTTTCCCTTTTCATACTGGAATCCCCATGTCATTGAAGAACACACTTTCCCATATTGCTATAGAGTTTTTGAAATATTCCATTGATTGTATTTGTTGCAAGAAGCCATTGGAATGCGAATGTAAATTTTTCCATCAATATTAAGAACAGAAACACTTCTGCACAACATAAAAATACTGATTTTAATCAATATCATGTAGAGCATATTAAACTTCAAAACTCAGCACTGTCCTTTATTTTGCATTCATCATTCAAGACAGCATATTGTAAAAAAAAAGTCGTTTCAATTCTGTTTAAATAGCCCACTTGTAAGAAACTATTAATGTATCTTAAATTGTTTTGGTCATTAGTGGCGTTCACGAATCAGTTTTCGAAAATGCACATTCGTAACATCATACACGTCATCAAATCCGAATTTTTCCTGCAGGCGTTGCACATCATACGGCATCAACACTGAAACAGGAAAATATAACGTGTTAGACTGTTAAGTTGACGGATACGACACATGTATCGTAAATGTGAAACAAGAGTTTTGTTTCTCTGAGATTAAATTTTGTTCAATGAACATGGGCAAACAAATATAAATGAAACATATCATTTTTAAGATTTTGCAATAGAAACGGTATTTTTGCACCCCCTTCCCACAGGCAAAATAAATATCCCTTAAATAAAGATAACGTGTATTCTATCAACCATATATGGAGGAAATCTTTTAAGAAACACTTTTAATAGGGATACCAATTATGAATTATCTGTCTATAACCAAGATAACATATTGTGCTCTGTTGATTGACGGCAACATAATCTTACACTTATATCATTGTCGAAACAATTATTGTGATCATACTTATGTTGCCAATTAGTAGATCATTTGGTGAAATAGTTATACGGGCGTCTCAAATAAAGTGCAAAATGTACATATCTTTATCAAAATCATTTGTATCACACATGGCGTGTCAATGGTTTCTTTTGAGTTATGTCTTGAGTAAATTGATTTTTATTCTAGATACTTTGACTTATATTGTTAAACTTGTGACTTGTATTCAAACTCATGCTGCTCATATTTGAAACTTGTAATCATGTAACCAATGCAGTATACCATATAACATAAAAGGAATATAATTCTACAGGACAAACTAGTCGACATTTATAATTTTCCGATTATAAAACGAAACAATAACAGTTTTTTCCAGAAAAAACACAAAATGAATTAATTTCTCCCGCCGGACATGTTTCTGTGTTAAAATGTTCATACAGAAAATAATATTGCTCGTCCGTTAATATAGTCAGAATATCGTTTACATAGTTTGAGCAACTTTTATATATTGATAGCTGTGTTATTGTATAGGTTGATAAGAAGGTTTCTACACTTTGCAGTTTTTGAGGTAACCTTTTCCCCGTGAAAAGAACATCCAAAAAAATAAACTACAAATATATCTATTATCACTGCAGGCAGTACGTGTCATGATCCCTTAACCTTAAAACTGCGAAAATTGTAACCTGTGAAATAGTTTTTATTTTAGTAAAACCATGAAAATTAGGGAACGCGATACATAATGTACAGTATCTTAATATGTGTCATGGCGACCAGACATGAATCTGCGAAAAAAAGAAACCTTCGAATCGACTATTTTAGCAAATCGATGAAAATACAAACGTTTTTAACATAACAAACAGTAGATCATATATTTAAGACCTTAAATATGGTAGAACTTGTTATGATGTGATTTAAAACTTACTTTCATTCTGTCTCAGATAGCTCATTAGTAAAAATCTGCTACCCATGCCGGTGCCTCCGTGAAGAGGGTTTTTAACCATCGATCTCATTCCAGAGGTTTGTTTGCTGACCGATCTGGGGTCAACATTAACGCCAAAATTTGGACCCATACCAAGTGGTCTTTGTGCAGACACAATACAATGTACGTACGGCAACAGCCATTATCACCACTAATCTTAAGGTGTCCATTCTGTCCGGTATCTTTGAGAGCACATCTCCTATGAAGCTGTTCGCTAATACCTTGTACAAGTGTGGAAGCAAGTCTGAATCAAAATCATCCATAATTAACAGATACTAATCTATACTTTTGATTCAACTTATGTACATTTCGTTAATTGAGAATATATTTATATTACACACAGCTCACTGGACATCCGATTAGACCTCTCCCATAGAAGCACTTCTGACCAAGGCTTCCATGACCTGTCAAATCCCTCGTGTATGTGTGTCACTAGAAATGTCCAGACTGCGTCACGTTCGACAGGACTGGACCGTCAACCATTAATGCTGGATTGTCTGAATGTCAATCATCTCACTCCACGTAAGGTGTGGGTACAGACAATCACTGTTGAACTGTGCCCATGGGGGACAGACATGGTAGACCTCCCCGAGTCTCCTAGCATATATAAGGCGTCCAGAACCTTAGATTGGTATCAGTTTTCATCTGCACAACTCTGAGGTCTACAACCGCACAACCGTCTCTCTAACAGTATGAAGACCTGCTTTATTGTCGTCGTTTTGGCTCTTGCCATGATCAGCTGTGCCTCCGCTCAGGTCGGTGGGATGCAGAGTTTAATGATGATGTCCATGCTTGACACTCCGGATAGTAAGTGTTATATATATATATTTCGATTTTGCAGATACAGCACCTTAAACATTATTTGTTATATTAGCAAAGTATTGTAGCCTACGCATTGTGTATGAATGGAGATACTATTTCCCTAGACAAATTATATAGACATTTTGCATAATTGGGTCTTCTCACTTCTAGGCCTTATTTGAAAATGATCCTGATTTGGAAGAAATGCCATGCTTTAAGTTAGTAATACATATCTAGGAGATCTTTTTACAATGTTGATGTTTGTTGCAACAACGATGCCTTGTCAGTTTCACAATGCATGTAACTAATGACCACATTTCGTTATTATATGTGGTATATACAATCAGATTCAAACATATCAGATTAAAATGTCGTGTTTTTCCTATTCTTGTAGATTTGTTCAATATCAATATATACTCTGTAGTTCGTACAAAATTTTGTTGACATGTTAAATCTAACACATCGTATTGCGCTACACGCATTGGGTTTCTGTTTTAACTTATCTCTGCTTCGACAATGCTTTTCAATTTTATTGGTTCTTTCGATGCATTTTCTTTAAATATTATCCGGGTTCTGTGATACTCTAACAAACAATCTTAAAATGTATGTTGGTATTCCATAAATTTTTCTGTATTTTTCTTTGCATCTAATGCATTCTCCATATATTTGCTAATTACGTTTTTCGTCTTCGATATCTCAGAAACTAGATGCTTAAAAATCATAATTACTAAAATATTGTTATCCGGAGAAATTCGTATAGTTTTAATTTGATGTATTGGCAAACACAAAGCACATATTTGTGATATGTTCATTTTATTCATCTCTCTGGTTAACCCTGAAGTCTTATCTCCGCGAGAAACAAACTTATATATATAAAGGAACCTGAATCGTGCAATATTGAGATAAGCCATATAGAAATATTGATATACCTAGAAACTATTTAAGACGTTAGATTAAAAACGTTCAGTCCATGCATCAGTCGTAATATACATGTTACAGCTTTCGGTCCTGTTCATATGCATACACTATTTCATCGCTGTTTATACTAATACTGCATTTTGTTCTTTCAAGTGAGTACACTAATGATGTGCCAGATGTGCATGAGGAACCCAGGTGCAAACATTATGACCTGCTCGATGATGGGAATGTGTGGAAACTAGCCACTTGGCCAAAGTTATGCGAAAGAGAGGTTAGAACTATTTATAATGTAAGGACTCCTTGTCTTCCACGTCATTACATCTATAATTCACAATACAGGATACAGGATAACGTACTCATCGACGGTGCTTTGAGTACCATAGTACAATTACCAACAACATCTCTACGTCTACATAGTACCGCCATTTGCCGATCACACAGAAAACAAGGATGTGCTGAAAACCATCTGATTTCGATGACGCTATACAAACTGTGATGCATAGTTCGTTATTTCCAGTGCAAGAAGAACATTCCAGTGACGTCATTGAAATTAGCATTGAAAGAAACATCATATTCGTATTTAAACATTCATCACATAATTGTCATTACTATTTATTAAACGCCATACATTTAACAAAAATATTGTGTTTGTTGTTTACGCAATGGTTTCCTCGTGACACAGCTGGTTCAAGCGTAAATACTGTATACCGGCAATCTTTCGTCATTCACAGGTAAAAACCATATTCTCCCTTCACATAACTATATTTCATATGTGTGTATGACTAAATAGTATACGCAGTATGCTATGTTTTGAAATGGGATGACAGAATACATTCTTCATCGCACAACTGCAGCAAAACTTTTCTGTTATTCAGTAATGTATTACGCTTAACAGAAGGTAATCATACTCTTAATATGTCATAGTTTATTTCCGCGAGATATTTACTTTATGTTTTCCCGTAAATTCTGGGTAAGAGTTTGATATCAATGTAGATAGATACAATTTCGAATAAATACGTCTGGTTTGGAAAAGCTGCTAAACTCAGCCATTAGCATGTGCCCTTCAAATTCGTTTGACATCGAACCATTTTAGGAGAGTTATTGCACTGAATAAGTTGACCTATAAAAGTAGTCAGTTTCAATAGTTAAACATACATATAACGCATACAATTGGAAAGAAACTTATCCTCGACACTTTGTAATATTCATGTGCACACCTAGTTAGTCTGAACTATTTTAAGAGGAATTATTGCGCGGAGACCAATCGACTAATCAGAAGTAAGTAGCCTTATTAATTATGATAAATTATCAACGTTCGTTTGAGCAATCGAGCTCAGCCTGATACTTTCTGATATAAAAAGTGAACACAAAATTTGGTAACAACCCAACCACCTTAGAAGGGCTATCAATAGGCTGACGCACCTCAATTAACCTCACCCGTTTTCTCCGAAAGCAGAGAATAGCAAGGGTGAAGCTTTTTAGGAAAATGTAGAAGCATTCCTATCGTGAATGATAAATATTTGTATTATGGTATATGAAGAACAACTAAATCAATGTGACAGACGTTTATTTTCGTTTGGAAGTACACTGTCTCTTTTCGTACTGGAATCCCCATGTCATTAGAGAACACACTTTCCCATATTGCTATAGAGATTTTGAAATAATTCATTGATTGTATTTGTTGCAAGAAGCCATTGGAATGCGAATGTAAATTTTTCCATCAATGTTAAGAACAGAAACACTTCTGCACAAAATGAAAATACTGATTTTATTAAATATCATGTATAGCATATTAAACTTCAAAACTCAGCACTGTCCTTTATTTTGCATTCAAACTAAGACAGCATATTATAAAAAATGTCATTTCAATTCTGTTTAAATAGCCCTCTAGTAAGAAACTATTAATGTATCTTAAATTGTTTTGGTCATTAGTGGCGTCCACGAATCAGTTTTCGAAAATGCACATTCGTAACATCATACACGTCATCAAATCCGAATTTTTCCTGCAAGCGTTGCACATCATATACGGCATCAACACTGAAACAGGAAATGTTAGACTGTTAAGTTGACGGATATGACACATGTATAGTAAAAGGGAAACATTAATTTTTTTTCCCTGAGATTTAATTTTGTTCATTGAACATGGGCAAACAAATATAAATGAAACATATAATTTTTAAGATTTTGCTATAGAAACGGTATTTTTGCACCCCCTTCCCACAGGCAAAATAAATATCCCTTAAATAAAGATAACGTGTATTCTATCAACCGATATGGAGGAAATCTTTTAAGAAACACTTTTAATAGGGATACCAATTATGAATAATCTGTCTATAACCAAGATAACATAGTGTGCTCTATTGATTGACGGCAATATACTATTACACTTATATCATTGTCCAAGGTAGCAGTGTACAGCAGAAATGGCCCGACTCTGATAAACAAGGCACATGTCGAGGAAATGTAAACAAAGCGGATTTACCCTACACAACACATGTATACATGTATATATATTTGTAAACTTCATTACATTTACAATACATATAAAGTACAGAGAAGTGTATAAACCTCTTTTTCCTATTTATGTCACTTGTGTGAAAACCATGGTTACCACATCAAAAATTACCAAAAAATGCCAAATATTTTACCTCCTGTAAAGCTAGCTTTTCATGTGTAGGCACCCTTTCGGATTATGGCCAAAATTTTATTCTCGAACCAAAACAATCTTCTTCTTTTTTACAAATGTGAATCTCACATAGCCCACTTCATCATGCTTATATCAATTTTAGTACAGTTGTATTTTTATATATATTTTTACATATCATTATACAGGGGTTAGCCATTTAACAAAAATATCACCCATGGCCACAACCCTCTACTGTATACTGCTACCCAAACATTTATTGTGATCATATTTATGTTGCCAATTAGGAGATCATTCGGTGAAATAATTACACGGGCGTCTCAAATAAAGTGCAAAATATACCTTTCTTTATCAAAATCATTTGTATCACAAATGGCGTGTCAATGGTTTCTTTTGGGTTATGTCTTGAAGAAACTGATTTTATTCTAGATACTTTGACTTGTATTGTTAAACTTGTGATTTGTATTCAAAGTCATGCTGATCATATTTGAAACTTGTGATCATGTAACCAATGCAGAATACTTATAAAACCAAAGAATATAAACTGAAGATATTTCTACATGACAACTCTTCGACATCTATAATTTTGCGATTATAAAACGAAACAATAATATTTTTTTAAGAAAATACACAAAATACATTTATTTCTCCCGGACATGTTTTTATGTTAATATGTTCATACAGAAAATAGCATTGCTCGTCCGTTAATATAGTCAGAATATCGTTTACCTAGTTTTACCAACTTTCATATATTGATAGCTGTGTTATTGTAGAGGTTGTTTAGAAGGTTTCTACACTTTGCAATTTTTGAGGTCACCTTTTCCCCGTAAAAAAACATCAACCAAGAAATAAACTACAAACATATCTATTATCACTGCAGCACTACGTGTCATGATAACTAAACCTGAAAACTGCGAAAAATATAACCTGGGAAATAGTTTTTATTTTAGTAAAACCACGAAAATTTGGGAACGCAATACAAAATGTACAGTATCTTATTATGTGTCATGGCGACCGGAATTGAAACTGCGAAAAATGCAAAACCCGCGAAATCGACTATTTTAGCAAATCGATGAAAATACAAACGTTTTTAACTTAACAAACAGTAGATCATATCTTAATAACATGTTCTGATGTGATTTAAAACTTACTTTCGTTCTGCCTCAGATAGTTCATTAATAAAAATCTGCTTCCCATGCCGGTGCCTCCACGACGAGGGTTTGTAACCATCGACCTCATTCCAGAGGTTTGTTTGCTGACCGATCTGGGGTCAACAGTAACGCCAAAATTTGGACCCATACCAAGCGGTCTTTGTGCAGACACAATACATACGGCAACAGCCAATATCACCACTAATCTTAAGGTGTCCATTCTGTCCGGTATCTTTGAAGGCACTGACGACCGACGCTTCAATTATTCTTATATAGGTGACAAGATACATTAGACCTTCACGCATGGCCACATTGATCCAACGTTTAATAGCCAGATTATCACTCAATCTTAACTCTCTGACCGCGGATGACCACGATATTAAACAGCATATTATAAATCATCAGGACAGTGTATGACACTATATCAACTTAAGTAATTTATTCTTACCTAGTCTGATGTTGACTGTCTGTTGTAAATAATAACAGCTTTTATTAGATTTTTTCATGGTTTTCTTCTTTTATTGTCATAAACATCATACTAATTATGACGTCAGCAGCGGCCGAAAGTTAAAGATACAACATCAGGGGCGGGTCCAGGTGAGGGCGTAATGGGCGTTTGGTTATAGATACAGTATGCGAAAAGTCACGGTATGAATTTCACTGCATCATACAGCTGTGTCGTCCTTCTAGGACGCATCAACGATGCTAGGGGCCAAAACGACAGCTGAAACAGAAGGTAAGGAGGGGGTACTACTTTGTATTTTGAAAGATTAACGCAACTCACACACAGGTGGTTGCACATATAAAAGTTCGTTATAGATAAAAAATATATATATATGCTAAGAATGAATACCATTGCACCATACATCTGTTTCGTCTTTCTAGGGATCTTCGGTGATGATAGAAGGTGAACATCCAAATAGGTTTAAACTGCAGTTGAAACAGAAAGGTCATGTGTAAAACCGCTTCATCTCTAAAATTAACCACTGCAATAATGTGACTTTTATGATAAAATTAAGTATTCGAATCACATGATATATTTACTCTTGTGTTAATTTAAGGGGAATATCTCGCCAAATGTTATTTTACTACGTTAGTATTTTTAAATAATGAGCCAAAGGCGAATCGTCTCTTTCTGCCTTCAACCATTCGTCCCCGATCGTTCCAGGTCTTCCTTTCCATCTGCCATCCTTTCTCAAATTCTTTAAGCAATTTAAATTACGTAGCCCATCTAAGTCGACCTCCAAACCATTTGTAGTATGATGTCACCGAGTTTGTAGTATGATGTTACCGAGTTTGTAGTGTGATGTTACCGAGTTTGTAGTATGATGTTACTGAGTTTGTAGTATGCTGTTACCGAGTTTGAAGTATGATGTAACTGAGTTTGTAGTATGATGTTACCGAGTGTGTAGTGTGATGTAACCGAGTTTGTGGTATGATGTTACCGAGTTTGTAGTATGAGGCTACTGAGTTTGTAGTATGATGTTACCGAGTTTGTAGTATGTTGTAACCGAGTTTGTAGTATGATGTTACCGAGTTAGTAGTATGATGTTACCGAGTTTGTAGTATATTGTTACCGAGTTTGTAGTATGATGTTACCGAGTTTGTAGTATGATGTTACCGAGTTTGTAGTGTGATGTTACCGAGTTTGTAGTATGATGTTTCCGAGTTTGTAGTATATTGATACCGAGTTTATAGTATGATGTTACCGAGTTTGTAGTATGATGTTACCGAGTTTATAGTATGATGTTACCGAGTTTGTAGTGTGATGTTACCGCGTTTGTAGTATGATGTTACCGAGTTTGTAGTGTGAAGTTACCGAGTGTGTAGTGTGATGTTACCGAGTTTGTAGTATGATGTTACCGAGTTTGTAGTATGATGGAACCGAGTTTGTAGTATGTTACCGAGTTTGTAGTGTGATGTTACCGAGTTTGTTGTGTGATGTTACCGAGTTTGTAACATCATACTTATGTCTCTGTTTATTTTCTCTGTTACTGATCATTGACATCTGATGTGAAGTTCACATTTGTTCCCAAAAGCCATGATTTTCTGTTCTGTTTCCTTGTCCACTCTCGCTGTTTCCTCTTCATACAAAGGAAATAATGTTCTATTTAAAAATACTGGTAAATTGTGTCAATTTTGTCCTCATTGATGATGTCCTTTGTCTTCTATATTATTTGGAACTTAGTGAACGCGCCATGAGCTTTGCCTGTATAAGGAGTTTTGCTGAATCACTAACTTCTGTTCCATGTGACCTCATTTATTATCTTTCAATTTGATGACTTTTTCATTCCTTCGTTCATTTCCTTGGTGTTGACCTTCAATCGACGGCTTGCTGCTTACCTCTGCAATATAAACTGTAAACATACTTATTTAGGGCACTTAAATTGTAGCGCTTTATCGAATTCGAACAGATTAATACAAGGATGAATGATTGCAACCCAAAAAATATGTAAGAGAAAAACAATAAACAGAATTTCCAATTGCCGCAGTCACGAATTAGCGAAATATCTAAATAGTGATCAGCGCTAAAGTAGACTCCCGCTATTTAAAACAAATATAAATAAACTAAACGCGTTACTTTTAGCTGTCGATTGAAGCCTATTGTGAACATTAGAACTCGCAAATAAACATACGCATTAGTGTGCCTATAAACAATGTTATCTTTTCAATAAACGATATCAAACAAGACTTGATCTATTAGAGTAATGTTATTCTCAAGTACAATCCCCGAACTTCACCTAAAGGATCCTTGTCTAACTGCCACTGTAACTAAGTATTGGAAACTGTTTTTTCCAGCATCACCCAATTTTTAATAAATCAATCCAAGAAAACCATACACTGTGGGCCATTTATGAGAAATAATAAATATGAAATAAACAAAGTGTAACCAGCAAACGTGTTCTGAGTGTTACAAATCAGCGGGCCTAGACCGGGATTCGAACCCTGAATTTCAGATTGATATAAATATCGCTCTGACCAATTTAACTACCTTAAGCTTGTTAACAGAAGTGTCCTGGCCCAGCTGTGCTACAGTTACATCTAAACGGAAGTTAAGTGGAGGTTACTGTATGTAGGAAAATCCACAGTGCAGTGGGGCAGAGACGGAAGTTAAGTGGAGGTTACTGTATATAGGGGGAAATCAGTGTATTGGGACGGATATACTAATAAAACGCGTATCTAATTCTAATGAGTAAGATATCTGGTTTCTCCCATACTCCATATTTAGCTACCTTTTTTGTTTGTAGTAAATGTATGGATTGAATTTTCAAACCGAATAAAATTTGATGTAAGACGACATGATAAACGTGTGGCATTGAATAGCATTCTTGTGTCCATTTCCGGTTGTTTGAGAGAAATATAGATGAAAGTGTTGCTAGGGCAGACAACAGCTATTAATCGTTGTCGTTGTCATACTAACCCAGTTTTTCCAGAGTTGATTTACTTGAAATTTCACCTGGGTGATCTATGTTACTACTGGTAGCTGATGCCTGAGCGTAAGCATTCATCTTATGTATATATCTGTTTCTACACGGTATTTTGCTAAAATGAGTGCACGCTTGTCTTGCTTATTACACACAATGTCATATGCATGCTTCTTCTTCAATGTTTTTAATATAGATTAACGAAAGTAAGACAAATATTGTAAACAAGTGTCATAAATTGAAAATTTCTTTCTATCACAGTTGTTATGACATTATCGCGTATCGATATTATATAAATACTACATTCATTGGAGTGTGACAGTGCCTAGGGTGAAAGTTTCAAAGAAATCGAACGTAACCCGAACTAAACTAATTGTCTGTGTGTACCGCTTCTAGTTCACAAAGGACAATATACCAATAGGGAGTTCTCAGATGAAAAAAAAAGAGCAAAGGGCAAACTATGAACAAAGGAAATATCTACACCGTGATACTTGAAAAAGTGTATGGAGAATGAGACCGCGTGGTCCAGAAGGGCAAGCGTCTTCTGTTTCATCAACGACGTCACTGTCACTCAGTTGATGCTTTCCGGTACGTGTGCACAACCACAATAGATGATAATGCCTGACATGTTTCAAGGAGTTGGGATAAAAACTAGATGAGTTTTTTAGACAAACAGTTTGAAGACGCATAGATGTCACGTCATTTTACGATATATAAACGGTTGTTTTATAGCAGACTTCAGCATGGGATGATACAAAATACAACATTCCATACGGAACTTGTAAGCACACTGCAACGTTTATACTAATCAATCATCCGAACATCAACCCTTTGCGTGTCCTAGAACTAAATCGAATGCACGTGATATCCGAGTCAGTGGTCAGAAGTGATCTATATCCAGGATGCTGACCTTAGTTGCTTTGAACAAATTTGTCTACAGTGCGAGTGACAGTGTAGGGCAGGTGGCGACCTCTTCCTCTCGCCGTAATGTCCTGTCTGTCGCAGGTGTCAGGATACCTGGTGGGAAAATGTATGGTAACAGGACAAATTGAGGAACCAAAAGGAGTATTGGTTTGTGATCATGTTAATCTTAAATTGACGATTTCTTATCTTCCCACGTGATATTGAAACGCTGCCATGGTTAAGTGGATTTTTACACGATGGATGGTAATTATCTTCAATATAATATTTGATCACTTTTCACAAAGGACTCGGGGCGCGAGTCATTTCCGGCCAGTAAATATATTTGTAATCTGAAATATCATGATATTTCAAATTCGTTCGACGACTGTTATTGGAGATATGGCATAACAAAGAAAGCTATACATTCGAATTTTTCATAATAAAATGCGTGAATATCGTCTAGTGTTCGCTATTTACGTTAACATTTGGCCATTTTGAAGCAAATAAAATATACACTAATCCAACCAACTAAATATTTGGCACATTCTCAGAAAGGATCTATTTTTAATTGCCACATGTGGAGGCTTTCATTTCTGCATGATAACTGTCCAAAAGACCATATTTTGACTTTTTCTGCATAGCAACGTAATTGTGTTGCTTTGGTGACGCATCTTCGCATGCGCAAATGAAACAATCTGCGGAAGGAAAGATAACCTCTATTAACCAACTTGATGTTCATTAAGGAAATTGGTAAATAAATTCAAGCTGACGCCCAAAGTCCTTTCTAACCCTAATGCTGTATGTAATGCCAAATAATTTGAATTAGACTTGAATCGTGATGGCAAACATTGAAATGAACAAAAATGACGTTCATTTACAATGCCATAGATGATGTCACAATGAAGTACCCCTGGACTATGTGATGACAAAATCGTAGGCTCGGTCTGCGCCACCTTGTGGATAAGACAAGAAGACTAGTTTGATTCTTTGATGTACATTAAAAGAATCTCGCGGGCGCGTAACGGTAAGAAAGTCTATGACGTCATGTGTCGCTCTCCTGTAATCTTCAAAGGACATGTATAAGCCTAGCGATTTGTCAGGGGTTTTCCCTGAGATCAATCAAAAAGCTACCCGCGTGCCCTTTATTGTGCTAGGACATATTCCAGGGGTGCAGAGAGCGTAAGTGAGCGAAACCCTGCAGTAACGAGGATGGGACAAATTGTCATGGAAATAAATAATAGAGGGTTATGATCGGTATTTTTTTTAATTTTCAGTTATTGACTTCTGAAACCTTGTTTTGTCGTATACATCATCAAATCTGAACAATAAGACAATTGTTAGTTTGTGTCAGGTATGTATACATGAATCTAGATTGTTGCTCTTTTGAGCTTTTGATGTTAACGCTAAAAACAGCTCAAATACTAAATAGTAGCAAAGAGTGGGAGAGAGTGATTTACTTGTGTGAATGTTAAAGCAGAACACGGAATTATTTTAAGAAAGATCAATTGGATCTTTTCCACATCATGGAGTTCGTTTGCATGATAAACTGTTGCATATATGTTGAAAATATGCATTTGGTTTCTCAAATACGTACTGACGAACGGACGAAGAGCGTTATGACAGCATACACTTCCCTTGTTGCAGGCGTATAAAACAAATCTATACAATTGTTGCAATGTATTGACTGTTTTAATTGTTTAATTGTTGTACTATGACATTAACAAATTAATCATTGTGTTTTCATCTCCAGTAATTCATCCTGATTTGTTTGTCAACGTAATTATATTCACCACCACGTAATGATATGACTATGATGCTAGCCGCATTCATTACGTTAAAAATATAGTTGTGACAGAGTTACTCGTTTGAAACTACAGGTTGTAAAGTGAGCTTGACATTAAATTCAAAACAAGTACATTTGTCAACCATACAGAGATGTTTTTGGTATACGAGAGTGTTGATCCCCATCAGATGACAAATATACGCGAAAATTCGTTCAACAACTAAATTATACAAACATGTCGTGGAGGTGATTTGATTAAACTTTCTTTTCTATTTTGGTTAAATCATAATAAAACTGTAAAGCATCAGTAAAGCCACGCCCCTTGAGGTTTCCCGCGTTAGGAACGCGTCCAATCTCTGTGAAACCCATGCTTCGCCACAATTTCACAGAAGTTTCGTTGGATACAAACACTAAGTTGAAGAAAGATGCTTGGTAACCAAGGTCACGCGCAATTTGAAGATAGTGTCCAACCATGAACTTCCCCGCACCTTGACCACGACTTGATTTCGAAACTGCAAAACCAGCGTTACAAATGTGTGAAGATCGTCCCGGAAAATTAGGCTTCACGTAAAAGCTTCCTATTACTTCACCGGAAGTGACGTCACGACAAACAAAGACGTCATGTGACAGATAATAAGCTCGGAAGTCCTCAACATCAGCTAGGTCTTCCTGTGGATAGCTATCGCCCTCCTCATTGACGATATACGTCATAATGGCATGAACCTGTGCCTCGTCTTCGTCCTTGTAGTAATCCAGAATGACCTTGCGTCCGTCCTTGAGTTGTCCCTCAGCAGGTAGGTACGGCAACACTACGTCAGATTTCGTCTTCTTAATCACGTACGCCATGTTGTATGAACCACCCTGGATCTGAATCGAAACACAATTGTATAATACAAATTTCAATTCTCCTTGGTGTTAGGAAACGCATGCTATTAGGGTTTGGGTTTTGAATGCAATGTAACCAGAATTCGACCCCTGGTGCCGTGTTTTGAGTATGTCGGTGTAGGTAGTGAGAGAGTGAGGTTCTTGTATTCCTAGCTTGGATAATGCTTAAACTGATACTTTACCAACGACACTCTAAGTCAAAGCAAGATAGTATACTCTGTAAGTTGTGAATGCCATTTAATGATTTATTTGATTGTTTACTTTCGAAAAATGCTTTCAGCGGGTTGGCGTTAGCATTCAAAACTTAAATGAAGAAGTATTTGTTAGCATTATTTATACCTTAGACACCAGCAAATATCTAATATCGAATCTGACCGGTACAAATGGGTACGGAGATAAACATATTCCCTGCACCATGGCTCAAACCTTTCTGTAAAAAGGTATACGAGACGAATATCCTTTTTGAATTGTTTTCACAAAGAATATGCATTGACAAGTGTAAAAACAAAGAAATCTGATTTTTTTATTACAACTTATATATATATATATATATATATATATATATATATTTATGTATATCCTCTTTCCCACTTTCACTGTCTTCATACGTTAACACTTAGTAAGTCATATAAGCCATTGATCACAAACAATAAACATTTCTTGCAAAACAACAACGTGTAGAATATGTGTAAGATATGGAACGAGTTGAGATACTTGATAATTACATGTTTTTAATACTTTACAGAGATGAAAGCATACTTGTAAATAGACCTTTTTAATATTGAGATAACTTTTCTTTAATCAGTTCCTTTTGTCCGAAACAGAAGCCGTAGTTAATGGTAGCACGCGCCATTTTTACAACGTAAACAAATTACTTTTTACCCGTTTTCAATACATATTCCGATTCTATATGAAGTCGAAAATTAATTGATCATACGTTCTAAGTCATGTGAAAACTTTACTCCCATAACATGAGAGGCCGCTGGTTGGCCTTTTTTCAATCGGATATGATTTTGCCGACTGCGACCTCTCATTTCCGAAGCACTAATTATTTGATGCAGTTTCCGCCCGAAATCCGGGCGGAACAGTTGAATGTATGTAAACACGATAAACTCTTTCTTAATCCGAACTTTGAAAATGTGATCGTCAGCATCGGGAAATCAGTTATGGGCAGTTAGAGGTTACGCGGCGCCTGTCAAAAGTTTTTCGCCGTGTAAAACCTCTAACATTGTTGGAGTAGTGAAAACTTGAACTGTTGTAACATAACGATTAAAAAAGTATTTTGTTATGCGATCCTATTTACTATAAGCATGGACTGTTCTATAAGTAGGTTATCCTTCCTCAGTTATTCATCTTGAACAATCATTTTGAGAGATTTAAATCTTGCATGTGGATAAAATAAAGCTTTCCTACAAGTTTATACTGTTATGAAAAGAGAATTACATATTTTTATATACATTACTATGGTATTGTTTATGCATTAATCATCTACTTTTTGGAAAGGTAATCTGACTATACAATTATGTGTTTATTTTGATTGGATAATACATTCTTGATAACTTGATTTACAAAGTGACAATTGAAAAACATATAACACCCCCTGAAAATACATTTCATTAGTGCATAGGGATGTATTTTGGGTCAGGACCCTCCAACCCTCTGTTTGCACCGTGTGTGCGGTGCTTTGTCCCCCACTTTTTTTAAACTACACTTTATAAATGAAATTAATATAGTATATGTAAAATGATTCAACTCAATATATGATTTAAACTACGAAATTATATATTTTGCTGTGAGAGTACTTGATTACAACTACATCATGTCTACAAGTATTAATTGACATTCATTATTTGCAATGGGCCAAATCAGAACAAAGCTTCAATTATATTTTTATAGTGTCCAGTGAAGCCATGCATACAGGAAAGTGTGAAACCCCCTGCTGCTAGCTTGGCAGAGCAGCAGTTCTCAGGTAAGGAGGACTGCCTCTATGTGATTATAGATAACGTCCGGGAGGTGTGAAACCCCCTGCTGCTAGCTTGGCAGAGCAGCAGTTCTCAGGTAAGGAGGACTGTCTCTAGAGACTATAAAAAGGTCCTTAAAAAGAGCTATAACACATATAGACATAACATTGAAAATCAAATACGAATCACGTCAAAATCAAATCCTAAAGATTTTTGGAATATTTTAAATTCATTCAATAAATCTAAAAATGATAACAGTGATGCTGATATATCTTTGGACGAGCTATATGAATACTTCAAGAAATTAAATAGTTCAGATGAAGATGAAGATGAGGATGAGTTTATTATTCCAGATATAATTGAAAATATGTTTGATTTTATACTAAATAGTGATGTGACTGAAAATGAAATTAGACAGGTTATAGTTAACCTTCGTAATAATAAAGCGCCGGGTATCGATAATATATTAAATGAGCATATCAAAAATACACAGTCTATACTACTACCATATATATATGTTTAACTTTTTAATGTTATATTGAACTCTGGCCGTGTACCAGGAGCATGGACAATTAAAGTAATAAAACCCATATACAAAAAGAAGGGTAACCCTAAAAGTCTCGATAACTATCGAGCTATTACATTAGTCTCATGTCTTGGCAAAGTATTTACTGCTATTTTGAACTCTAGATTAAATAGACTTTCAGAAGAAATTGATCTAATTTCCAATGTTCAAGCTGGTTTTAGGAAAGGCTATTCTACAAGTGAAAATATATTTATCCTTCATGCTTTAATATCTATATACTTTTCAAAAAGTAAAAAGCTATTCTGTTCATTCATCGATTTCAGAAAAGCGTTTGATACTGTTTGGAGGGTAGGTTTATGGAAGAAATTATTAAAAAATAATATCACAGGAAATATATTTAATGCTATAATTAATCTGTATGCAAACACTAAATCTTGCGTAAAAACTAGCAATGGTATGACTGATTTTNTATGAAATATTGCTGAATCTATCTATGAAATATTGCTGAATCTATCTAAGAAATATTGCTGAATCTATCTATGAAATATTGCTGAATCTGTCTATGAAATAATGCTGAATCTGTCTATGAAATAATGCTTAATCTGTCCATGTGTAATCTACTCTCTCTGTCATGTTTTATTTTGATTGATGTTATTTTGTTTGACCTCTTGTTACACACTTTGTGTGTCAGAGCGTAATAAAAAAAATCTTGAAAAAAAATCTTGAATCTTGGAAAGATATTTAATGCTATAATTAATCTGTATGCAAACACTAAATCTTGCGTAAAAACTAGTAATGGTATGACTGATTTTTTCACATGTCACGTCGGGGTAAAACAAGGTGAAAATCTCTCCCCATTTTTGTTCGCAATATACTTAAATGATTTAGAAGAATTTTTAATGCAAAATAATGTTGACCAACTCCATTATATTGATGATTTATTTCAAGATCGCATGGGTATATTTGTTAAATTATTTATTCTGCTATATGCAGATGACACAGTTGTTATGTCTGAAACAGCTAAAGGTCTACAGGATGCTTTCCGTGAATTTGAAACTTACTGTACTATTTGGAAACTTAAAGTTAATCTCAATAAAACTAAAGTTGTTATCCTTGAAAAAAAAAATGTAATGCACAAAATATTCGTTTTACTCTTTTTGGTGAAGAGTTGCAAACACATGACTGTTACTTGTTTCTAGGACCGCTGTTTCATTATAATGGTAGTTTCTGTAAAGCAAGAAAAAAACTTGTTGAACAGGCTCAAAAAGCAATGTATGCATTATATATAAAAAAAAAAAAAATATCATTTTACCAATTGACCTACAGTTAAAGTTGTTTGATGTATTAATATCCCCAATCCTCTTGTACTCCTCAGAAATTTGGGGGTTTGAAAATACCAATATGATTGAGAAATTACATGTACAGTTTTGTAAAAGAATTTTAAACATACGTAGCTCCACAGCAAATATAATGGTATATGGTGAAACGGGTAGGTACCCTCTGAATATTGAAATTAAATCTAGAATGATAATGTTTTGGTATAAACTAATTACAGGTGAAAATAAATTGTCTAGTATAATGTACAAGCTTATGCTGAATTTACATGAAAAT